TCGCTACTGGGAGCTGGAGCTGGGATTCCACCCTGATAACATTAGTAATATGAAATATGAGCATGCAGAGTTTTTAGTCTAAGCTTGTCAGCAGTGAAGGATGCCTGCTCTGCCCTTCTCTTCCATACAACATAGGCGGGTAAGGCACGTCCAGCAGCAAGGAACGTGACCTTCCTTCCTACTCCTCATCCCTAGGGATGAAGGGCCAACAGCCTGGCACACTTCTGAGGTGAAAGGCAGGGGCCACCCCATCACCAGGAGCCAGTGTGCACAGTTCAGTCTATTGCAAGCACTGTCACCACAGTCACACTGCTCAGACTCATTGCTCCACGCTGTGAGCACAGGAGGATGCTGTGCATTAGCTAAGGGGAAACCAAAGCAGAGGTTCTGCCACCTGTGGAAGCCATGTAGAACGTCCGCTCCATGCGGTCCTCCGGAATTCTTGCCACCAAAGCCCGCAGTCTCTTCTCCTTCTCCTTAGGGCTCAGCTCCCTGGCCCATTCGGGCACAGAATGGTTCTTCTTCTTCGTTCGCACAGGGACGACGAGACCGGCCGGAGCCGCAGCACGGAGCACGGACCCCGCAGCCTTGAGAGACACCACAGAACCGCGGGGTGAGTGCAGGGGCCCAGAAACACCCCCCGCACCGCCATTTATTCCGCCTGGAGCCCGCCCTGTCCCACGGCCCTGCACATACCCTTGTACCTAACGCTTCACATCCCTTCTCCCGCGGGGCCTCACCCTCCCCACTGCCACTGCCCATGCCCATTCCCATTCCCGAGGTCCCCCCCAACTCAGCGCACCCTTAGGCCCAGCCAGCCTAGACCCGCCTTCATGGCGGCCGCCATCTTTCCGCCGCGTAGCACGCCGGGACGTAGGCGTGGCCAAGTGGGCGTGGCCAATAGGAGGCCGCGCACGGGGCGGGGCGGGGCCTGCGGGAGCCCGCGCTGCGGCGGCGAGTGGAAAATTCCATCGGCTGCGGGGGGGGGCGGGGGAGGCTCCGCCCATGAGCGCAGCGCAGGGGGGGGGAACCCTGAGTTGGGGGGGGGTCCTGCCTCGTGCTCCCGGTGCACAGGGATAGGGGGTGCGGGGAGAATGGGACCCCCGTTGCGGGGAGAGTGGGAGATGCGGGACCCCGCACCGCAGGATGCAGCAGCTCCTGCTGCATGGTCCCCCATGGGATGCTGCACCCTGCGGCGGGGGGGGGGATGCAGCACCGACAGCGTCAATCAAACCCAGCTTCTCCCAACGCCCCTTCCCTTGGAATTGCAGCTTGGGGCCACCCCGGTGTGCTCAGCACCCGTCCCCAACAGCAACACGCAGCTCTGGTCCATGGCGCAGCCCCAAAGGCGCCGCATCCCGGGGGTGTGAGCCCCGCGGGGCCCGCACAGCCTGGCCCCGCTCCCAGTTGGCGTTCGGGAATGTTGATCTTGGCTCCCCGGGAAGCGTTGCTCCATCGGACAGCTGGTTAATGTGTAGTGACGGCTGCTGCGCTGTGCCCGAGACCGTTGACCCCGGCCCACGTTGTTATCTGTGCCGGCGGGAGCGGCCCTGCAGGGCGAAACGGGGGGCACCGGGGGGGGGGGGGGGGTGCACTGAGCACCGCAGGGTGTGGGGATCGCATCTGCATCCCTGCAGCGGCTCCCAAAGGCTGGCATGATGCTTGTAGGGGTTCAAATACAGGAGAGGGGCAATGCTCCCCCCGTTCCCAAGCAGGAAAACCGGGGCCAGTTTCTCCTTTGGAAAACAGGGATCAAGCCATGGGATTGTGGATCCTGTTCCAGAGCAGCCAGGGCTGAGTCAACCGGCCCCAGTGCTTTCCCACACCTCCGGATTTGTGGGGCTGGATTTTTCCAGCCCATCCGGCTTTCCCAGCTGCAGAGCTGCCCTGTGATGCCATCTCAGCCGGTTTTACCACCCTGAGCAGCCATTCCAGGGCTCTGGAACCCCCTTGGGGCCACGTCCTTGCTGCAGGCATTGCTGGGGAACACAACCCAGGAGCATCCCTACCTGCTGTGGTCCGGACTAGGGCAGCAGGCAGGGATGCTCCCAACAGATTTGGCCTCTGGAGGTGCCGCTTAATGGTGCCCCCCAGCCCATGTATGAGCTTCCTGTTGCAAAACCACCGTGCAGGGATTCACCCCATCGGAGGTCAGGACCAGGGCTGGGATTTGGAGCATCAGCAGAAGATGCTGATGCATTTCCCTCCATCCTTGTGCAACTCGCCCCAGGCACAACAGGAGGGTGACGGTCAGACCCGCACGCATGAGGGGAGGAAGCCGTGCACAATCCCTCCCAACCCAGGCCCCAGGAGCCACTTTGCAGCTTCCAGGCTGTTGTCCCCATAGTCCCAAATACCAGAGATTCCTGCCCTAAGCCTCCGGCCCAGACCTGCAAGGCAGGATTAGCCGGTGCCCTCCGGCTGCTCCCACTCTCAGCAGGGACAACACAAAAGAAAAGCCTCTCTTGGGATCTTTTCCTTTTCTTCCCCTTTTCCCCCCTTGTTTTCCTGCACTGACAGCGGTTGGTGGCTGCAGAGCCTCTGGGATAATTACAGCTCCTGGCTTCCACCCCATCCATTTGTCCCAGGCACTCCCTTCCCCAGTCTGGCGCTGCAGGAGAACCCGGTTTGGTTGGGACACGGCGGAGGAGGCGGCTTCCCCCCAGCTCTCTCAGTGGAGGTTCTCTCTTTCTTCCTTTCTTTCTTTCCGCATCCTTGCTGACAGCAGCATCCGTCATCCAACAATACCCCCTGCATGGACCAGCAGCCACAGATGGCACCCGGAGCCCTGCGGCCACCAACCGAGCCCTCTCGCTGTCCCCAGGGCAACCAGGGCACCCAGTGACCTGTGTGGCCATCGGGGACAGGAATTAAAGCTCAGAGGAGACAATCCCCGCGGTGCCCGGCAGCTCTGCTCCAGGAATAGGTTTATCCTGCCCCTGACCTTGTGCCTGCCCAGCCCCAGACGTGGCTTTGCCCAGGCAGGGTCAGTGGTGGCCATGAGCTGTGCTAGGGCATTGGAAACAGAGGCAAGGTGGGAGGAGAGGGGCTTTTACCTCCAGGAAGGTCTCTTAGCATGGCTGTGGTGTTGCCTGGGCATCTCCCCACCGGCCTCAGTGCATCCACACCACATCCAGGTTGAGTCCTTCTCCATCCAGACCAACCCAAACCATGGGATCCCCACTGAAGCCCTCCCCTCACTGCGGCAGAGATGGGGCTTTCTCCCCATCACCCCATTGGCATCACAGCCTGAGGCTGTACCACCACCAAAACTCTCCCCAGCACCACATCCACGCTCTGCCCACATCCCTTGGGGCTCTGCACCGCACCAGGGTGCTGGGAGGGGATGGTGGCAGCTTCCCAACCCCGCTGCTGCAATTCCAGCTGTTTCCTTGTCTCCCTTCCCCTCCTCGGGGCTCTGCAGCACAATGCAGCCCTGATGAAACCCCAGATGAACCCGGGTCCCTTGGTTTCCCTAACGACGTGCTGAGAGCTGTCTGTACTTTCCCCATGCGCCCCACTTTGTGCCACCAGCAGATCCCTCTCGCTCCGCAGTAACTGGCATTTTGCACAGCGAGCACTGCTTTAGGCAAAGAGAAATCCTTTTGGGGATTGGGATGGGGGAAAGAAAAGGAGGAATTGCATTTCTAGTGGTGGAAAGTAATTGATGGTTTCCTGCTGCTGCTTCCGTCTTAAAAGGAGGGAGGTTGTGGCACCCACAAAGACGCAGCATTGTTCTTCTTGGGGTGCTGAGACTTAAATCGGGTCTGGGTGTGGGCAAAGCCACCAGCGCAGGCTCCCCTCTTCCAAAGGAATTCCATTTTCCACCTCTTTTTTTTCTTTCCCCCATATAAAGCCTTTATTAAGAATCTTTTAAACTTCCTGCTGGTGTTTGTCAGGAACCCAAAGAGGCATCCAACATCACCCGCTTGGGCCGTTTATTACCCTGTAACCGCTGCATTGTGTACGGAGCTTTTGAAGAGGGATTCCTCACATAGCATCCTCCACCAGCCCCAGCGATGCTCTGCCACCCTGTAGACCCCGAGGGGGGAGCCCCGAAGGGCTGCGGTACCCAAGGGCGGCTGCTTGGCCATGGGAAACAGCGCCTCAGCATCCTCACAGGGAAGAGCTTCTGCCTAAGAGCTCAGCTCAGTCTCCCCTCGGGCAGGTTCAAGCCATTCCCCTTGCCCTGTCCCTACATCCCTTGTCCCAAGCCCCTCTCCAGGTTTCCCGCAGCCCCTTTAGGCACTGGAGCTGCCCTAAGGTCTCCCCTTCAGGAGCCTTCTCTTCTCCAGCCGCACAAAGTCTGAGGTTTAAGCCGATCCCATGATTTCCTGGCGCTGGACGTTGCTGACAGTTGCACCCCCCTCGCTCCATGAGCGGAGCTGCCTTATCCGCACCCGGCAGCACCCAGGCAGAACGGGACCGGTGTCCTCTATGGGGCAAGCGCTGCACGATGGGGTGATGAGCATCCCCCCCCTCCGCCACAGGGTGCATCTTCCAGCACCATCTGGCCCCGGGGGCACCATGCACGACCCACTGGTACCACCGTACCAGGAGCCCCGTTAACGGGATGCGCCGTTCCAAGACCCCCGGGGCAGCTGCACAAGGAGCTCCCGGTAACGAACCGTTCCGCACCTCCTAGTGCCTGTCCCTACAGAACGGGAACGGCAATGGAACGGGAAAGGGAACGGCAGCGCAACGGGATCGCAACCGGCGCGCTGCGCATGCGCACTACCCCTTACACCGCTTACGCAACGCGCTCGCTCTGTACGTGCGCGGCCGCGTGGCGCCGCCGCGCGCGCGCGCACGCGCTGTTCCTTCCACCTCCTTCCTCTTCCCCCCCCCCCCCACTCCACCTCTCTCCCTCCCTCCCGGCCGCCTCGTGCCGGGAGCGCGCGCGCGCGCCCCCGCCCCTCCCTCCTCCTCCTCCTCCTCCCTTCTCCTCCTCCTCCTCCTCCCGCCGCTCCGCCGCCGCCGCCCGTTCCCGGTCCCGCTGTACCGGTGCGGGGCCGCCACCGCTTCCCGTTCCCGGTCCCGCTGTGCCGGTGCGGGGCCGCCGCGTCCCCGGCAGGAAGCTTCCCCGCTCCGCCGCTCCCCGCCGCCCCGCCGCGGGAGGGCGCAGCCCCGTAACCCTCCCTTTCCCCCCCTTCCCCTCCCCTTCCCCCGGTCTTCCCCCGCCATGCCGGAGAAGCGTCCCTTCGAGCGGCTGCCCGCCGACGTGTCCCCCCTCAACTATGGACTCTGCCTCAAGCCCGACCTCATCGACTTCACCTTCGAGGGCAAGCTGGAGGCCGCCGTGCAGGTAGGGCCGCGCTCCGGCCCCTCCTCATCCTCCGCCGCCGCTGAGGGGACCCATGCCCTCAGCCCGCCTCTCTCGCCGCCGGGCCCGGCTCTCCGTTCGCTCCTTCCCTCCCTCCCACCGCCAAGGCCCGATCTCCCCATTCCCCATTCCCCTCCTCACCGCCGGGCCCTTAGGGCTCCCCTCCCGCTCCCATCAGGGCCCGGCCCTCGGCGCGACGGAGCCGGCCGGGCAGGTGCAGAGAGGCCGCTTGGGGGCCCCCCCCCCGGCGGTGCCCGCCCTCCCGGTCCATTCAGCCCGTACATACCCACGTACCCGGGGTATGTGGCCCGGGGCCTGGCGCGGGGGCCCCGCCCTGCCCCCGGCAACACCGGGAGCGGCCTGGAAAGCGCTGGGGGCCTCCCCCCGTCGCGGCCCCCCCCCCCCCCCCGTTCCTCTTGCCCCTGTGTGTGTTAGGATGGACATGGAGCGTTGGGAATGCTGTGCCGCGCTGCTATCCCCGGCTGCACCCCGGGCCTGTTGCCGGCCTCCAGAGCGCTGCTTTTATCCCCCTCCAGCCGTTCCGATGGCTCGGGATTTTGCTGGAAAGGCGAACAAGCGCCCATGCGGTTAAACCGGCGCTCCCCCCCCCATCGGTGTGGTACCGTAAGCTGGTAGGCCTCGGTGTCGTGGAAAGCTGGAGTGAGAGGCTCGGTGAGCAGTGGGAAGGGTGTGCAAGCCGAAAGGCACCCGCTCTGCTGCCTTGTCTGAAAGGCAAAGGCTTCCCCGTGTCTCAAAGCCGGGATGTTTGATGGGAGCCCTGGAGTCTCACAGTCATTCCCAGGCTGCTCTGCCAAGGTTTCCTCAATCTCCTTGCATGCCTTGTGCAATGGTTTGAAATAGATGCAGAACGGGGAGAGAGAGCTGTTCCTTAAAACAGGATGAGTGTGTTGAGGGCTCCCGAAGGCTTGAGGGAGATGATGCTGAGATGCACACAACAGTTAAAGCCTTGGTTTCAAATGAGGCAATAAAACTGCTGAACCTGAAGCACAGGTAACAGAGGGAGCCGGTGCCTGCAAGTGGGTGATGGTGAACCTTGTGACTCTTGGGACCTGGAGGGAAGATGGCCAGGGATGAGTAAGTTTGTGTCATGTGGAAGGAGCACTGAAAGTGTGCATGCCTATGGCAGAGCTCAAGTGCTCAGAGGCCTTTCAGTGTGATGGTGCAGCTTGAGACATTCCCAATCTCTTCCCTCTTAATCCTAGCCACCTATTCCTGTCCTCACACCCAAGTTGCTGCTCCTCAGGCCTCTTACAGCTGTGGGGCTGTGCTGTAAATGGGATCACTGAAATCATCCAGGTTAAAAATAACCCCGGGGGGGGGGGGTGGGAGGGGAGTAGTGGCTTTTTAAGCCAGCCTTGCTGTTGAGGAGAGCATGGTATTGAACAGCAGCCTTGGAAACTTCAGCTGAACCCAGGAATAACGAGGGTTTGGAGGCTTCTGATGGAGACGGTGGTTGGTTTTGCTGGGGTTTTTGTAGCCCTGGTGAGGTCTTTGTCGTGCTGTTTGCTGTGCAGGGGATTGCTCAATGAATTCCTAGAGCATTGGATACCACCTGACAATGCGAAATCCTGGACTTCCCTACCAGCTGAGGGCATGTGTTAAGGGAGAGCAGTGATCTGTCAGCTTCGAGGTTGTAAAAAGCCCTCGTGTTCACATCGCGGTGAGCTCACCTGGTGTTCCCACGGGACAGGGAATTAACAGAAGTTGAGGGTGAGGCTTTGAGAACGTATCTGGAGTACATATCTTTAGTTTTAAATACCTTTTAACAGTTGTAGGCTGAATAATCATGAAGCCACATCCCAGCTGCATGCAAGCAGGCACAGGAGAGGTGCAGGAAGGTGGATGGGATGGGTGTTCACATGCTTGTCTTGTGTTAGAAACTCAGAGAAGTTTGTGGCTGTGGGTGTCCAAAGCACAATAAAGGCACGTTCCAGAAAATTAAAGGGTGGAGAGAAGAATAAGCAGCTCACCTGCAGTGCTGCGTGGACAGGATGCTTTTTTGGACAAGGGGAATGGCTTCCTTAAGAATAGATAGACATTTATTAGGTTTTTATTCCTGAATCTAGAAAATAACTCATTTGTGTGCTGTTGATTCAGTTTTGAACCCCTTGGCCGTTACTACTAGCAGCTTGCAATGAGGTGGAGTGTTGCTCATCCGAGGTGTTCTGTTTGCAGCATGCTGGAGAGCTCTGGCATACATTGTGCAGTCATTGAGGGGAAGGTGCTTTTATGTTAAGGCACAAACTTTGAATGTTCTAGATTTTGGGGAGGGAAATACATAGACTGCCTCTTGAAGAGCCAGGTAGCCAGTCAAGCATAGTTCTTAGTCCCTCTGCTCCATTCCAGCACAATAATGGCTGGACAAACAACAACCCCCATTAAGTTCTTAAACCAGTGATGCTTTCTTACCTGTGGGGCCAGTACTGAAACTTTGACACCAGAATAAATCCTGTTCAATCACAAAACAAGGAAACGATTTCACTATGTGCCTCAATAGTCTGTGTTTGCTTTGGGGTCTTTTTGTGTCTCTAGTAGCAGAGTGGCATTAGGAAAGGCTGTGATATTTAGTCAAGGTATTACCAGGGAACACTTGGTCAGTCAGTTTGCATTTCTCACTCAGAGCTGTTAAATAGGATTTGGCAGCCCTCCGTGTGGAATTTTAGTCAGTCTCTCGACTTGAGCACCAAGCCCTAAAGAAATGTTAAATAACTTTCCAGCCTTGGCTTTGGGGCAGTGCATTTGTGTTGGCTTTTGTACGTAGAAAGAACTTAACACAACATTTTGTCTTTATGCCGCTATAATAAATGTTACACTTAACATGGCTCCTTCAATTAAGCTTCAGAGGATAAAGCCTTTTATGGTTCAAAAGATAAGGCTGTTGCTTCTGTGTCAGTGGTGACCAGGTTCATTTCAAAGCCTAAAAGAGAAATGATACATGGTAGAGGTTTATTGGGGCACTTCTAGTTTTCAGGTTAAGGAATGGGCCCTCTGGGCAGTGTTTGTGGGTTCTTGATAAAGGAATGATACTAAAATCTGCCCCTTGATCTGATTGCCATCAGCTTTTGAAGCTGTGTTGGTGAAGTACCTGAAGTTTTGTCTGGTTCTCTGAAGTTTTGTCTGGTAACTTGAGATGTTTAAATATTATCATAGGATAATGATAATAAATAATGTCATGTGATTTAAATAAGGGTCATATGAATATTTCTGCAGCCTGGAGAGTTGTGTAACAATTATATAAACTGTCAGTATTATAATTGCCATTTGCCACAGTTAAATCTTCCCAAATCCTTAACTGAACTGTTTCACAAGGAACCCTGATCGCAGCCAGGGCACACTGAGGCTGGGGGAGAAGCAGACATCGCGTGGTGGCAGCAGATCTGGAGCTGAAAGAGTCCCCTACTCTCAATCCTGTGCTCACTCTGTCAGTTAGATCCCCTTTAGCATTTTAAGCTGTTGATTTGTTGGGCGTGTGGGGCTGTTCCTGAATGAGCACAATTCAGTTCTCTCTTATTTTTGGGTGGAAATAGTTCATCTGCTTTATTCATCTGCTCGCTTGAGGTATCATTATTCTAACCCTGATTCTCAGGCTCTGGTTATCAGTGCAGTGCACTCGTATTACTCAGCGCCTAGGCCAAGTTTTTTTCCATTCTGCTTCTGACTCTTGGGAGGCTGAACCAAGGGCTGGAACAAAGAGGGGATGTGCAGCACAAGTCACCAGCACCAGCAACATCTGGCTCCCAAAGTTCAACCCTTGTTTTAAGCTTCTACATGCGAGTTCTTAACGCTGTCCTGGCTCCAAAGATGACCTGTCTGGTGCAGAGCTCCAGGAAGGTGCATGCTTATCCTCTAACTTCCTGGTATTTCCCTGTGTATAAACCACCTTCTTTAGAGAGTGTTGTGTGGTGATTCATTTCTTTCATTGGAAATGGCAGTGAGGTGTTCCTTGGTTGCAAAGCAACCCGTCTCTAAAGAATTTACAACCTGAGGTGGATGGCGCTCTTCAGTATCTTTTGCAGTCCCTTTAATATGTCTTAAGGATACTGTTATATTTAGCAATGTTTAACCTGTATCTGTTGCTTTTTATAGGTTAATTATGCAGTATCTGCTAGACTAAAGACTGTGTAGTCTTCTGATCCTGCTGCATGCCAGATAAAGATTTATTGTGATGCTCTTCTATGTAAACCTTGGAAAAAATAAGCTGTAATGGGTGTAGTATTTGTGCTCAGTATCTCTTAGGAGGGGAGAAATTGTGTTATCCAGCATTGTAACTTACATTTCCAGCCTGTGAAATTAGATCTGAATCTGAGTGTTGGAGTCTAGAGCTTCAAAATCAGGACCTCAGGGCTGCACGTACCCTGATGACACAAGCTTCCAACCAGGAATGCCTTTGCTCCCCTTCAAAAGGCCCCTTTCAGCTCTGTCATTCAGAAGGTGAAATGATTGCATTGACTGTAGTTACAGAGGGGTGTACATGCCTGTGTGTATTTGACACTCCTGATGTATGTAGTTTGATGCTCTTTGGAATAAAGTGAGTTTTTCCAGTGGTGGCATTGGTAATTTACTACTTTACTGTAATTTGCTTGAGGTGCAGATTAATGAAACTCTTCATTCATTTTCTCATTGAAGTTCTGAGTTCTCAAGAAGAACCTACAGCACAACTGTGGTAACATTAAGTGTCTGTTCTTAGGTAGTAAAGTGCTAAAACCATACATACTTGTTGTAATGCTACATTTAGAAAAGGACTTTGAAGCCCAGTGACAAGACCATAGTTACCTAGTCTTATAACTGGCTCTTGGGAATTAGCTTTGACTATAGATGATATCTTTTGGTGCCCCTCAGCCTGTATTTCAGGTGGGCTGGCATTCTACTGAAGCCATTCAAATTCTCCTGTGAAATGCCCTAAAAAGCTTTTTCCATCAAGTCCTTTCCTGCTCTGATAACTGGGGAAAATCAAAAGCTTCACAACACCTTTGTGGAGCCAGATAATTCGCCTTTGCAGCTCTTCTTCCATCCAGTGATGTTATCTTGGAAAACTTCTTGGGGAACTTCAGCCATTGTCTCCTATTAGGTGAGATTTTCCTTCCCAGAGCAGAGGTGTGGATGTGCAGGAGGTTGGGAAGTGTCTTAACACCAGGTTACCACCACAGTTAAACATCTGGAAGGGCTGCAGTTTCTGTGCAGGGCAGACCTGCTTGAGGTGTCTGTGCCTGGCTGCTCTCAACAGGTATTTTAATGTTAGTTTCATCAAAACCAACAGCTTTTAAGTGTTGAAACACTCCTTCCATCCAGACATTGGTTTTAGTTCATCTGCTGCTTTTAGCCTTCTGGCAAAGCTACGTTCATTGTGGGCATTTGGTGCTTGTTCTTGCCTTGATTAGCCTTTTCTTACTGAAGAGTAAATGGATTCTGTTGCAGAGCAAGGTGAAGCAGGGTGACAGTCTGCATATACACACCTTTGTAATTGATTATACCTGATGCAGCGAGATGCTTTTTACCTTTAAATATGATTGAATTCATGAAAAGCAGTGCACGAGCAGAGTTATCTCTCTTGCCAAGCATAGTACTAGTAGAAATGGCCAAGCAGTTTCAAGGTACCACTTAGAGCAAAACACATTGATTCATCTTCATGGTGTCTGGTGTCTGTAAGCATTAGGGCATGGGTTCTTGTGGGATGAGTGGTTGGAAGTGTGCTGGGCAGTTTATAGCTTTGTTTTGTGTCTGTATTTCATGGGTTTTAGTGGATCAGAGGGAGGGGGCTTTTGCAGCCTTTGTGCCAACATGACATCTCTGCTTTCCCCACTGAATTCAGTGAGTGTTCTGCACAGTGCACTGTCAGCAGTCACATCTGCACACTGGATTATGCTCTTGGTCTTGGGGAGTTGGAGGGTAAACACTTTATAGGCTGTTGGTTCACTTGGCCCCTTTAAATGTTCTCTGCTGGCTTGATGCTTGTAGGAGGTAAGGAAAAACCCCTGAAAATAGGCAGTTGCCTTTCTAAGGCACCTCTGAAGCTGTCTCTGCTTAAACCTAAACTTATTTTGCAGGCAGAGCACTGCATTAAAAGCTCTGCTGTCCTCAGAAGAGGTTGTTTTTTAAAGATGGAGCCTATTGTTCATCCCAGCATTGTCTGCAATTTGGACCACTCTTGATGCATCTTGAATTCTTCATGCAGAGAGATTTGGATTTGTAGATTGAATAAAGGTCCCTCTTAGACACTTAGAAAAAGCTTTTCTCAGTCTGATTTTTTGTGTGTGTGTGTTTTAGAAGACCTTGAAAAACCCCAAACCCTCATGTAGTGATGAAAAGTGCTGGGCTGTGATCTGAGGCTCTGGAAAGTGTTGTAATCCTTCAGTTGCATGCGCACCAGGCTTGTAAATCTGTGCTAGAAGCATCAAACCTAACCTGTGGAGCTTCTGGTGGTACACTTGCTGGTTTTGTGCATTGCAAGGATGGTGGTTGTAGAATCAGGATAAGTTTATCAGGTGACATTGTTCTGGTTTCATTACCATGAAGGGGCAACGTGGAGCTCTTGTGCTCCATACGATGCACTGCAGCGTGGCTGACAGGCAGGGGTTGGAAGGAGTCACTAAGAGTTAGGCTTGTCAAAAAGTCTAAGCCCTTACATAGGATGTGTTATACACAGCTCTGGTCATAGGAAAAAGCTAGAGACAAGCTGGGGACTGGGGTTAGAAAGAATCTTTGGAGTTAGGTTTGTCTTGTGTCAGCCATGTGGCAGGTTGGCTTTCTCTGGAGTACCTGGTGTTACCCCTTTATTTAACCCAATGGACCCTTCTTGTGATGTGGGTTCACTTGTTAAGGTGTACATTTAAATTTCTTAAGCCTCTCTTACCCCTGACTACACTTGAATTTGGTTTTTATGTACAGAATGACAGAGGAGCCATTCCTTCAGTGGGCCTGGGTACAACGGCTTAGGACTGAATCTCTGCTTCTGTGTAGTAGTCCCCTTGTGTAAATACCAGCCCCTTTACATCAGAGTGGTAAGGTCAGCTGCAACTCTGACCCTTCAGCTTCTTATTTTGGCTGTACTTATAATAAATGCAGTTCCATTTGGCTGATGAGTGGTGACTTGGTGTGCATGGGCAGAGCACTTTGCTACAGGGGAGCTCTGCATTTGATGGAACCAGTTCCCACCACAGGGCGGTCTGGCTGGTTTCTGCTGTGTGTAAACATGGGTAACTGGTATCAGTAGTGCATTTTAAGGTTATAATGGTGAAAAAACCACAACAGGGGTAGAAATCCTTAGGCTGAGGAACTTACTATCTGGGGCAGGAAGCAATTCCTGTGTTAAACTCTAGTTGGCTGTTGTGGAAATCCTCTCTATTGTAGAGGTGTTGCCTACTGCTAGAAATTGTATCCTGGACTAACGGAGTTCCCAGTTCAGTCCAATGTGATGATTCTGGTGGTTTCAGCCATAAGTTTCTAAGTAATTCCTAGTTTAATTCCCAAATATTTTACCCCATCGTAATTAATTGATATTTCATTTGAATTCCTCTGTATTCAAGCTCTTGCATCCAAATAGAAAGCTGGCGCAGTGAGACAGTTTATTACTACGCTGGGAGCTGGCCACTTGTTAAATAAAGCAAAGCTTGCCTAGCCAAGAGCTGGCAGAAGGAAAGCTTTCAGGAAGATGGAAAGGCACATTTCTTGGCAGATGTTTTTCAACCAAAGAAGTTCTTTCATTGGAGTGAGTTGAGCACACGGTACCCAAGGTTGTATTTCTGAGCAGCTCCCAAAGATGTAAGTTTGGGTTCAGAAGCTTTGGTTGTAGTCATCTCTGAAAGGATGCTTGAGGCTTTCTATCTATTTTTATTGGTCTTGGATTCCCAGCCATGTACAAGGCCCCTATTGTCGAGCTCTCATACCAATTTTTAACAGGCAGTCTGTTCCCTTAATTTCCAGCCTTGATAAGTAGGTCTGGATGGCTTGAACAGGATTCAAGTGCGCATGTTCTGCCACAAGGGAGAGCAGGCAGTGGAATATCTCTTTCTTTACCGCTCTTAAACACTGAGTTTGATTTCACTTGATGGCAGACGGGGTTGGGGTTAAAGGGAGGTGGGAATGCCTACCCAAGGCAGCACCATTTGATGCTCATTACATTTCTCTTCCAGGTGAAAAATGCAACCAACCAAATTGTGATGAACTGCGCAGACATTGACATTATCACAGCTTCCTATGCACCAGAAGGAGATGAAGGTAGGATTCCTCTGTTGCTGGAGCTTTTACCTGTTAATCCATTTCATTTCTGATGTGAGATGCTGCTGCCAACAGTTAACAACTGTGATTGCAACATAATGTAAGAGTTTGATAAGCTAAACTACCCCTGGAAGCACAAAATTTGTTATCTAACCTTCATTCTCTTGTCATCACTACCCTTTACATCATGTTTAAATACATTACCTTGAGCTTCCATGACATCTACTTCCTGCATCGTGGTGCCTGAGTGTTGCAGGCTAAAGGATGTTTGACTGTTCCGACATTACTATTTATCTTTATCATGGATAGCTGTGTAGGAAAATGGTCTGTACTGATGGACTTTGCAATATTGACAAAATCTGTGACAAGGGTTTAGATAAGGAATGCATCAATAATAGCCTGAAGCAGGAATTACTCATTGGGAAGGGTTTGAAAAAGTACAGAAGACACTTTATTGACACCTAGCAAGATGTTGCAAGGGTAAGGCAACATGGGAAAAGGAGAGGGGCTTTTGACAAGGGCCTGTAGGGACAGAACAAGGGGAATGGCTTTAACCTTCCAGAAGGGAGATTGAGATGAGCTCTTAGGCACAAGAGCTTAAGCAGGGTCACAGGGAAAACCCCTGTGAGGCCAGGTTGGATGTGGCTTGGAGCAGCCTGCTCTAGTGGAAGGTTTCCCTTCCAATGGCAGGGGGTTGGAACTGGATGAGCTTTAAGGTCCCTTCCAGCCCAAATCAGGCTGGGATTCTATGACTATTCCATGATCCTATGGCTAATAGATTTGTATGTGGCAAGTAGAATGTCTACAACGAGTCATTGCATTTAAATTGGTTTGAATGATTTTTAACAGAGTATTAAAGAAACCAGAGGGCTTCTTAAATACAATTGAGACCACGGGCAGTGCTTAGGTGGATGGGGAGCTCTGTCCTAAGGAAGTAGCTTTGGATGGGTGTGTTGTGGAAAAGTAGAGCTCACAGCAGGAAGTGCAGTCGCAGGGAGGGAGAGTGGCAGGCAAGGCTGTTACCAAAGAGCTTGGAGCCTGGCCACTGGCCTTCGATAGTGAAAGAACAGAGCAGTGCTTCCTGTGTGCTCCATTCCGGCTCGGGGTTGTCCCCTGGTGCTCCATTCCTGCTTGCCTTTCATTAGTGAGCTTCAGTTGATTGGGTGCCCCCGGGTTGCTAAGTGCTCCTGGAGCTATTTTGTACACTGAGTAATGAGGTGATAACAAGAGTGGTAGTAATAGCAGCGTGTGTGTGGAGTCTGCTCCTCCTACCACCCTGCTGTAGGCCCAAACCACCTATTTTGTCATTGAGAAAATGAAAATGAATGGAAAAGGTACCTAGGAATAAAGGCTTTTTCCAGTCAAACCAGGAAAAATACATAAAATAGAGAGGATCTGTATTTTAATGTGCTGTATTGGTTATTTTCACAGCTGATTTCCCTCTCGTAGGGATCTGTTTTTCTCTTCTTTTAGCAGCATATACTTGTCACTTCAGAGTATTAATAGTAGAGCGTAATGGAGACCTAAACCCAAGCACACTGCAAGTGAGTCTGTGGCTTAAATTCCTCCCTTCTGCTTTCTCAGACAGCCTTGAATGTGGTACCTGGGACACAAAGGAACACGAGTGCAGCTCGTTGTTGTATCCTCAGTACTCGAGGTGCAGCTTTGTTGCATGTTTACTGTAGTGATCCTCGGGCTTCATGGGGTTAAAGCATATATTTCAGTTTGGTAAAGTGCCAGCTGGTGTAATGGCTTTGGAAGGAAAATTGCATGGAATTGGCAGGCTGTTTGCTGGCACCTGTTGATACAGATCCAGTCAGACTTAGTAACGCTCCTATTGTGAGCAGCTTTTGGATGGGGATTGTATAACTGATCTCAAAACCAGAGTCTGAAATACAGCCTAGTGAACCAACAGGAGTATCAGCCACATCCTTTGGATTGAGTTACCTAGGTGAGCCTCATACCAAGGGGAGAGAATGTTTGAAAATGAGGGAGAAGTTAGGGATATTTTCCCCTTTAAAGGCTGGAGTGAGGAATTGTATCCTCGTAGTTCTGTACCTTGGTGGGGAAGTTTCTCTCCCATTTGCTTGCAAACATGAGTCAAAAGGTAATCGGCTGCTTATCTTCCTTCAAGTGTGGCTCTGTTCCTAGTAGTAGCTGTGTGAAAGAGATCTTCTTGTCCAGGAGGTCCCTTTCCCTTGTTTGTGCAGGTGAGCTGGTGACTTTGGTGCAGAACAGTTGATTCTTTCCCTTGTAATTCTTGGTAGTCTCGAGTGCACTGTGACTTGTACAACAGGAACCTTGGCTACAACTGTGGGCCGTGTTTTCCCTCCCATCCTATTCACTTTTAAAGGTGGGTACAGCAGAGGGTAGAACTGAGATTTGAATTTGCAACTTTAATGCAGATTTGCAGGGAAATCAGATTATTGCCCAATATTTGATGGGAAGCTGAGGGAGCTTTAAAATCAAAGTCAAAAATGGTGCTGCATAATCCACAATTGAGTGATAGTGAATCCTAAACTGGGAGAGATGGGTTGTGCAATGCTTCAGAGTTGAAAAATCCTGTTTCATCACAAAACGAGTGTAGTGATTGGAACTGGAAGTTGTGGATTTGCTGTTTGTGCCAGGTATGCTGTAATGGAACAAAGCTACTCAAAAGACTTGAGTTTTCCATTGCTGAAGTCATGAGCAGCTCCTCCCACTCCTCAGAACGAGCAATTGGGTTTGTTCTTTCCAGAGGCTGCTCTTTAGCATCTGTAGTCACATATCTATAGTGCAGCCTTAGCGCTTAGGTGTGCACGTGCTGTGCTGCCTCTGTCCAAATGATTGACTTTGCTCAGCTGAATGAAGACCTGAAAAGTCATTCTGGAGCTAGCTGGTTCTTCAGTTTAATGTTAGGGGATTGAGTTTCCTGTGCAGTAGTTGGAGTGTCCTATAAACCTCTCTTTTAAGGGGCTGTGAAATTGTGATGGAGTCATAATCAGTGAACTGCACTGTCTTCAGCTTGGAAAGCTTTTCTGATGCAGTGGGATCTAAAGCAGCTTCTTCAGTTTAGAGATGCTTGGAGGGTGGTAGTTGGCAGTTTCTCATGGAAAATGAGAAGCAACCATAGTGATGTTTGCTTAGCAGGAGTCATCAAGTGAATTTTGATTTGTACTTCAACCTTTCAAAGGTTTTAAGGCCAGAACTCATTGTTTTAGGGTTTAGGACATGCTTGGGTGCTAGTGCTAGGCGCTGTGGCTGATCTCTAGTGCCTATGGAAAGCTGAGCAGTGTGTCCCAAGTGTATCTAAGCGATGCTTTCCCCTAGCCTGGGAGCACAACCACAGCACCATGAGCATCACACAGCCTGAAATCGCTCTGCTGTGAAGGGGCAGCAATGCTTGTCCTCACTCCTTCCCATCTGCTGGCGTTCATGGTTGCACTGCAGAGCATCCCTGTGGGTCAGGAAACTGCACTGGCTAAAAACTGCCTCTGCAAAGGGAAAAAAGAAAGGGCAGCTTGGAGACACATCACCTCCTGACCCCGATGATTGCATGTGGATGCCAGTGGAAGGAAGGGAATGGGAACATGCAGCTGGGGCCAGGTGGGAAAAATGAGGCTATTGTCTCTGCCCTTGGCAAACTAGATTTGTTTAAGCCAGTTGTGCAACCTTTCATTGTAAAAAAGCTCATCTTCATCCTCTCTTCTGGAGAGGGCTTGGCGTGACAGAATGTGTAATGGTGGGGGTTTTAAGGAGGCCTGGCCTGCATTGGCAGGGACAGTTTGGGAATATCAGATACCTCTGACTCCTTGAAAGGATTTTACAACCACTGGTTTCAAACACACGAGATGGGAAAGGGCTCGAAAGCATTAGTGTTCTAGGGAATTGTGTCAGCATAGCTCAGTGGCTGATGCTGGAGGAGCTCAGCGTGCGCTATGTCAACACGTAGCTCTTTTAAGCCAACATGCTTGATTTGCAGGTAGAGCAGCAGTGTACACACTCGCTGCAGCTCAGTTGATGACTGCAAGTTCATTAAGTCACCATACCTTAATTGCTGGGGACTCCTCCATGTCATGGAATGAAGGCCACTTTAAAACACCATCTCTTGCACTTGGCTTCATCTTCCCTTTGAAATACGTGCACGTTTGCTGCTGCTTCAAACCTCTGGCTGGGATCCCCGTATATAAGCATGTAATACAGCAGTTAATGAGCCTGGTTACTGTACTCTGGTTGCTGTGCAGTTTCAGAAAGGCCTCTTTGGAGGGGCTCTGATTCATTTCCAGTGCTATTGTCAACTCTGATACGGAGTGCTCCGAGCTGGGGAGAGTTGCGAGATCAGATCTTTATGCTTTTTCTTTCCCAAAGACATGGAGCACTAACAGCTTTTTCCTTTCTCATGCAGCTTGGTCCAGGCTCTGTACTAATGTGCTAGTGATTAACTTGCAACCTTGCCGTGCCAAACTCTCCAAAGTTCACAGGCTGCCAAAATTGTGTTGTTCTCTTCAGGAGCTTTTGTATTCAATGCTGTGAGGAATTCAGACAGCCTCTTACTGCAATTACATCTTTGTTATAAGCAGTTCTCTTAAACTCTTAACAAAAAGTATTGTTGATGGCTTTCCATGGTTCTTTTTCCTCTGGATTAAATTAATGGCACTGAATAGTTAGTTTATAAAAAAGAAAGTATCTTTGAATCTTTCATTTTATTCTGCTGGTTTGGAAATCAATGGATAAGCAGCTTCTCTTTGGGAATGGCAAGAAATTGCTGGAACTGAGAGTGGAAAGACCCCAATTCCTCAAAGAGTACCCATGTCGTGAAGCTGGAAATGAGCGTTACCTTGTGGTGGAGGTGGATAAAGCTTTTATGTGTTCATGAGCTGGTCAGGACAAGCAGGGCTGGGGTATCACACAGCTCTGCCTCCGCAGTGGGGATTGGGATCAGCCTGTGCTGGGAGCACAAGGCATCAGTCCTGAGCTGGCTGTTTCCAGCCCATTTAAACTCTAACTTGTTTAAACCTGGTTTCTAACCATGGTGTAATTGGGATCTAACACTGGAAAAGTCAGGTTGAGAAGCCCTTTGGAACAAGCTTGCTCTCTACATGGTGTTTTCCCAGGGACAAAAAACTCCTAAAGGTCTTCCTTCTTCCAGTGCTGGACATAACGCCTGTGTCTCCTATGGCTTTCCTAGTGCAGGTTATAAAGGTTATAATGTATCAGCACTACAAATTCCAATACACCAAAGAAGAATTCACTTTTGGGATAGGAGGAGGGGGAAACTTGATCTCCATTGTCAACCTTTGGCAGAAGATCTGCATAACCCGCATTCTTCTGTATTTCTCAGTTTCAGTAGGTTAGAACTATGATCCTCAAGTCATGGTGTTGTTTGTCTTTGCTATCAGATTGTTTCCATTCGAAGCTGTAAAAAGATAAAAATGGGTTTGGTTTGGTTTGCTGTGGTCATTTTAAACACACACAGAGAGCAGGGGGGAAGTGTTTCTGCATTCTTGTACTGATCTGTATCAGGCATTTCTCAGGTTTGCCTTCAGCCTCTGACCACAGGCTGCCAGCTCGGCTCTGCAGGTTGTCCAGCAGCAGGATTCCTCCCTGGAAGCCTAACATAAATTCCCAGCAGGTATCCAGCCCTGCCCGAGGTCACTAATATGCTGTTGCAGAACAGGTTTGTTGTCTGTTGGGCTCTTAAAGATAGCCAGGGTCAAAATTCAGTGGCTCTAGGTGTAGTCAGCAGTCAGCTCCATTCGCTGTTGCTGGGGAGCCCACTTGGGATGTTGTACGTTAGCATTGTTCCCTGAATATCTTCTCTGTGACTCTTCTATCACCTCCTTTCCTGCCTCAGTGTTCCCCAGAGTTACAAGAAGCAAAGCTCAACTACTTTGTGTTGCTCACTGCCCCAATGCTTGCTGGCATTTTGATGTCCTTGGCATGTATTCTGTTTGAATGGTCCATCTGATCCCTCTTGGAGTTGATTTTAAAAGTCTTTGGAACTCCTCAGTACAGACCAGTTCTTCTCCTTGGCCCTCCAAAGAACATTTTTTCCTTGAATTTGTTTCTGTACTGTATTTTCTTTTACAGCTAGAGTTGTTTTATTGTAAGCACTCGTGGATTATGTACCCTGGCATGGTGGTTAGCTCTGATTAAACACTGAGCAGAGCCCTGTGAAACCAGTAGTTAAGGCTAATGCATTCATGCAGTTCCTGCATTTGTTCTCTGTGAGCAGAGGTTGGTATTAACTCTGAGTTAAGGCTGAAATGAAATCATGCTATTCCAGAATAAATAGCACTTTACATTGTAGAAGAACAGAAACATGTTTCCTGTTGTCACATATGGAACAACTTAACTGAACATCTCGTGAGCGTGCTCTGGCTGCCTCTGAAACCAAATACCTGGATCCTTGCAGGGATACTCGAGCATGGAAACAGGTCATTGTAAATTAAATTGTTGTGTCAAACAAGCTTTGTTCTTCAGAATTCCATGTAAGGAAGGTTTTTCTTTTAGGATATTCCTGTATCACCACACTTTCCAGCATTCTTTCTTTGTCCTTTGCGACCACTCAAAGCTAGTATCTACTTCAGTAGAGAACTGAAGCTGTTCATTGAATCTTTCTTCCTAAATCAATTTTAAAGGACCTATAAAGGTTCCTAGAACCATTTCATGATCCCAGGTGTGTTTTCATTTGATTTGAGTGATGTGAGAGAGCTGGGACAAGCAGCTTGTGTTAGGAATCGTTGAAGCTTGGAATGGTCTGGGTTGGAAGGGACCTTAAAGACCATCTAGTTTCAACTGCCAGGTTTTCGTTGGTTGCTTGCATTTTTAGCTTTGTGGATTCTTCAGAAGCATGTTGTTGGATTTGGCTGATTCAGTTCATTTTAAATGTTCAGAACATCTCTGGGCTTTCTTTCAAACCAGGTGGTCTGTTTGTCTGTTTCAGAGGTACATGCCACAGGGTTCAACTATCAAAATGAGGATGAAAAGGTTACTCTTTCCTTTCCCAGTACTCTTCAGAAAGGTAAGAGCTATTTTCATGCTTTCAGCCATGTGTTTAAGACATTTGCACTCGAGAAAGCTGGAGTGGGACAGCTCTGTTTTCCCTGAAGTCTGGGACTGCAGTGCTCCCTGGGGAGTCTCTTCACTGTAAGTCACTTTGTGAAGCCTTGGAGTTGAAGATGCTGTTTCACTAATGCTAATGTTTGCTTCCAACACCTCAGGTGACTAATTCTTTACTTGCTCTTGGAAGTTAGGCTCAGAAGCTATTTATGTTAGCTACTGAGGCTCTTTTCCTCTTACCATGAAGGAGCTGATCCGAATTACTGCAGTGTTTTCTTAGGCATGACCATACTAATTCGTTTGAAACTGCTACAGTTTTTTGTTCTGAGAAGCTTGTCAATTGAAACTCAGCTCCTTGATTTGAATAAAGCAGTTTTAGTTCATCCTGACCAATACAAATAGATTTGAGGGTGGTAGAATTTTCATGTCTCGTTCTATGGGGTGTTGGCGTGCTGCCTCCCTGATCAAGATCAGGTTTCCCCTTTTGCACTGAGACATTGAGGGCAGAATAAATCCTGAGACTAATTGACTCAGAAGCTTGAACGCAGCCAGTGCTTGGTTCTTGGAATACATTTCATAGGATGCTGTTATTATGGAGTAGCCACCTCTGTATTTGCCAACCTGACTCAAAGGTAAGGACTGTGGGATCAAACATCTCAGCTGGCTGGAGGGAGGTTCTCCTGGTTATTGCATTGTGTTTAGAAGAGGAGATGAGGTCTGCAGCAGCCTCTTGCTTTCTGGTCAACACTCAAATGCTGTGATGGGTCTGGCTTTGCCTGCATTGTTCTACTGGAGCTGCTTTTGTGGAAGGAGAGTGAAGGGTTTCAGGGAGGCCGGCAAAAGAAGTGATGGCTGGGGATGAGATGAAGGGACATCAGCTGAGTGGCCTGGCCTGAAGGTCCACACCAAATAAACCTCCATTTGGCACATGTGACTAACAATGTCCCATCTGTTTCTGTTACAGGGACAGGGACACTAAAGATAGACTTTGTAGGGGAGCTGAATGATAAAATGAAAGGGTTTTATCGAAGTAAATACACCACCCCTACTGGAGACACACGCTATGCTGCTGTCACTCAGTTTGAGGTATGGGCTGTGTTATTTTTTGGGGGGGGGAATGTCATTTTTAACACAGGATTTACACTGAGAAGAAACAAAGACACAGTTTCCTAGATTTAACTCTACTCATTAGGTTAACTTGCCTTTAGTGTGGAGGGATAATACTAAAAACCCAGCTTTTATGTTGCAAATTCAAGGTCAGTAAATTCTGGATCTGGCAATTCCCCAGCTAAGGATCATGCTGATGTGAAATGCATCATATATATCCAGTAGCAGTGTTTAAGAACAGCTCTTTATTTAGATGTAGTCACATACCTCTGTATAACTTGCCTTTATGAAGCCTATTGTATTAATACAACACTTCGCCTTTATCTCAGTATCTTAATTACACCCAAAATATGAGCCAGATTCTGCCTTAAGTATTACATAAACCCTGGACATCACAACAGAATTATAATCCCATAGTTATCTGCCTGGTTACATAAAAGCAGGGAGCACTTCCCTGATACAAATGGAACGTTTCATGGGCGCAGTGTGCTGACAGAACACAACTAGGGGGTCTTGTGTGTACGGTCTGTGAATGCCTGGGTGCCCTTTCTGCTTTCACATGACTGGGCTTTGCTTCTGTCATGACTCTGCTGAATTCCACTCCGCCTGTAGAATTCCATCAGAGCACAGAGTGCTTTTCTGCTGCTTTTTATTATTTTTCCTTAAAACCAAGAGAGAAATCCAAATAAAATGCTCTAACACAGAGGTCAAGAGCATCAGTGAAGAGGCTCCGCACCAATGACTCACTAGCATCCATCCAACTCCTTGCCTCTGAAATGTGCTGCGTTTTTCTCTGTGTGTTATTGCCACAATCTCTTGCCATTTGGTTGTTTAATGCTCTTTTGTTTCCTTCAGGCTACCGATGCTCGCAGAGCTTTCCCTTGCTGGGATGAGCCTGCCATTAAAGCCACATTTGATATTTCTTTGGTGGTTCCTAAAGACAGAGTAGCCTTGTCCAATATGGTAAGTTCTTGATGTGTGAGCAGACTTTTAAACGGAGCTGTAGGAACTGATTATTTGAGAGTTAATAGTGCGTGATGAGATTGCCATGTCAGGTCCTAGCCCAAAACCCAAGCAGGTTGTACAGACCACAGCGGTGGTGGGTTAAAAAACCCTTAGCAGATGTCAAACCATGTGCTGCTTGATGAAGAGTGACTGCAAAGAAAAGAAGCCTTCATGTGTTGATATAGCTGTTATAGCTACATAAGCACTAGAGATAAATAAGCATGTTTTCTGCTTCAGGGAATTTCTGGGATAAAGCGTGCAAGTGGATGTATCTCAGTCACAAATACAGGTTGCTACTTGATCTATGGTGCATGTATCTCTAGATTACGTTGCTGGAGAAGAGCAAGTCAGTTTAAAAATAGACTTTTTTAATGCCAGTAGCTGACTTTCATTGTTACTTGTAAAGGCAAACCTCACCCGCATGGTTATGGTTTCTGACCACGTGGTTGTGGTTTCTGTTTCTCTTCATCAGGGATGGGAGCGATAGGACAAGGGGTGATGGGTTCAAACTTCAACAGGGGAAGTTCAGGTTTGATATAAGGAGGAAGTTCTTCTCTGTGAGGGTGCTGAGGCGCTGGCACAGGGTGCCCAGAGAAGCTGTGGCTGCCCCATCCCTGGCAGTGCTCAAGGCCAGGTTGGATGGGGCTTGGAGCAAGCTGCTCCAGTGTGATGCATCCCTGCCCATGGCAAGGGGTTGGAGCTGCCAAGGGGTTGGAGCTGCATGATCTTAAGGTCCTTTCCAACCCTTGTTACTCTTTGATTCTATGATTTAAAAGTGAAAGCCTGATGTTTTTACTGGGATGTGGGCCATACTTTCTTTGAAGGCCAGCAGCTGATAGCTGGAATATGAAATATTCATTCCATAGTAACGGAATTTAAGTTCTGAAAGTCCACTTCCATGGCGACGGGGCGTTTTTAGTTCAGAAGGGGAGCTACGTCATGGTCTGTATCCTTAAAATCATTGTCAGAGGAGTCCGTTCATTTCTGAATGCATGACTCACACTGATGGCATAGTCACTCAAATGGATTGTGTAACCCAGTTCCCCTTCCACAAAACTAACTCATTCCCTTTCCTGTTGGAAGAATGTTGTTGACAGGAAGCCGTACCCGGACGATGAGAACCTGGTGGAAGTGAAGTTTGCCCGTACCCCGATAATGTCCACCTATCTTGTAGCCTTTGTGGTGGGAGAATATGACTTCGTAGAGGCCAGGTCCCTGGATGGTGTCTTAGTGCGTGTTTACACTCCTGTGGGCAAAGCAGAACAAGGAAAGTTTGCATTAGAGGTAAATGTGCTCAGGGTGACTTTGGTCCTGCTGCAGTGACCTCCGCCAGCCTGGACTCCTCCTTCAGTTACCTCGGTCCACACAGAGCTCGTGAGGCTGCTTTTGTTGGCTTTAATGGCTCAGAGAGCCCTGGGCATGGTATTAAAGAGAATGGCAGCTGTGGGCAAACTGATGTCTCTAATGACAAAAACATACGGTTTAGTTCAGCTCTGATTTGGTGATGGAGACTTGGGCTCAAAGATGATGAGAAATGCTGAAGGGTAGGCTACAGCCTGGGAGAAAAAGGGGATGGGAGTCTTCCAAACCATTGTGCTCTGGAAGCTGGGAATGGGGCTTCTGGAAGAAATCTTGTGTCTGCTGCTTTCTTAGGGCAGTTTCAGTCATAAATTTCCAAGTTTCACCAATTGTTCTAAGTTAACATAACATTTCTCCTCTCATTTCTTACAGGTTGCTGCTAAAACTCTGCCTTTTTATAAGGACTACTTCAATGTTCCTTACCCTCTTCCTAAAATTGATCTCATAGCTATTGCAGACTTTGCTGCTGGTAAAGTAACTCACTTTATTGATGAACTGTCTTTTATTTGAATTTCAAACCTTTAGGAAGAGGTGTGTATCAATATCAATAAACCTTTGTATTTATTTTATAAAGGTGCCATGGAGAACTGGGGCCTTGTTACTTATAGGTATGCTGTTAAAATACTGTCTTTCCCCCTCTTTGTTCACTAATTCTTGGAAGTAATTGGATTAGTTGTAGGCAGCTGTAATTATTGGGTATCATCCCAACTAAGACTGAGTAAATACCTTCAACTCTCGCTTCGGTTTGGATGATTTTGACTTCTGCAGCAGCGTGCACTGTACAACCCTTAGGAAGGCCAGAATGAGTTAGCACAACCACTGTCCAAGGGCGTGAGGTTTTGAAGTGCCTGGCAGCACTGCCTGTTCCACAAGAGAACTTTCTTCATCCCTTTCCCCCCCCTTATAAAAGTGATGTACTCACTGACACAGCTGGAAGAGTTACTTTATGTCATAGGCAAGTTGGTAAATTACACCCACAATGCAACCATGTGGAGACAAGTAAATTACAACGAAGGACTTGCCTTCCTTTTCAGTTTGCTTTATTTTTTTCCCTTCAGCTGATCAAGCTGTTGTACTTTTGCTTGATATTATTCCACTCTCTGTGCTCATTGTTAGAATGCTTTTCCTTCCACTTTGGACAACATTGCTCTTGTCAGCTTTGGACTTTAAAGCCTGGAATAGGTGGGATTTCTTCTGCTACGCTTTTTAATTTGGCCTTAAAAATTGCAATGGAAAATTGAGCCCAGGTTGAAAACTAAACCCAAATCTGCTTGTCTGCTTAGCACAGTGTTGATGAAACCTGGTGTTTTACTCCTTGTAGGAAAAAAACCCATTGTGCTGTTAATTCCTGCCCTCCATACACTGTTTGGCACGCTTGCTCCATCCCTTTGGGTTGGTAGAACCTGCAGGCACCATCCCTTTTGAGATCCCCTTTGAGTGAGCCACCAAGTCCTGCTCATGACAGGGGGGGGTTCTAGCTTGTGTGCCTGACCTAGGGAGTGCTTGTGTGTCTACATGTGTGTGCCCTGTGTGGAGGCTTGTGTGCGGTGGCGAGTGTAACACGGCTGGTTGTGCACTGGGAAGAGCTGGAATTCCTTTGGGGATGAGGGAGGGAGAGACTTGCTGTGCATCCATCATGCAGTGCAAAGGGAGTTAAGGATCCTAGATTATGTAGGTGAGCTATTGTATAAATGAAGGAAAAAGCTTTCATGCTCCTGCCTGGGTTTTTGCGCTGGTTCTCTTGCATGCCATAAGGAATTAATGCTCCAAAGCATTCCAACAGCTGTGGAACTTCCCAAAATAATGTCTAAACTGAAACAGCTTTTGGTTTTTCTCAGTTGCAATGATCACTTTTTAGCTTGCTTAGGTCATTTAACCTACTTCTGATTGTGTTTTATTCTCTGGGCATGTACCACTCTGTTGAGTTTTCCTTCTCTCTTAACTACAGGGAGACTGCATTGCTCATTGACCCCAAAAATTCCTGTTCTTCATCTCGCCAGTGGGTTGCTCTGGTTGTAGGACATGAACTTGCTCATCAGTGGTTTGGAAACCTTGTGACCATGGTATCTAACAGTTACAAGTTCTCCTAGTTGTCTTTGACATGTGCTTGGTATCATGTGTGTGTTAAGTGCTCCTTTATAGCAGGCATGCTGTATTGAAAGCAAATATTTCACTAGTGTTTTATTACCACTTTTCTCTTTACTAGTGTGTTCTTTAGAAGTATTCCCAGATCTTTTCCATGTGATGTTCAGTTGTTTGAACACAGAGTTGAGTAGGTGTTCCATGGGAATGATTCTGGTTAGCCAGGTTGCTTGGAAGCAGTAATCCACTGTTTTCCTTTCAGGGAGGCACAATTCACTCATCAGGCTTTTTATACCAAGCAGGCTGAGTACCAGCTCAGCCTTGCAAGTTCTGGTCCAGAAGTTGCTCAGTAGTAGCTCATCTGGATCACTTTGGATATGTGGGGAGCTGCCAGTCTCAATGCTTTGGTTATTTAAGTCATTTTGCCATAAAAGCCAGCAAAGGCTGAAATCTGCAAAGAAATCCCATTTAGTGCTAAAACCTGAAACCTCTCTGTCAGCTTCTGCTGCTCACAAATGGCTTCAGCTTACTCCATTCATTAGATTCCCACATTCCTTTTCCCAAGACCCTGCAAGCAGGTGCTTGAATCCAGGTACTTCACAAGTTGGGGAGTTCCTTGTGTTGCAAGCAAGCAGTGCGTGGCTTCTGCAGCCCTAAATCAGCCAATTTTAACTTCATTTGGAATCTCACTTGTACCTGAGGCATTTTCCTCCATTCAGAGTTTGTAAAACTTATGGGGAAGGTGGGGTTTGGGTGCTGATTACTTCTTGGGTTGAGGACTTCTTTATAGAGAGGAATTTGTGCTTACAAGTGTTCCTCTGATTCGCAGTGAACTAGGCCCTTAACAGCTTATCTCTGCTGCAGACTTACTGTGGCTTACATGAAACTGTTTGGAAGTTTGTTCTTCATTCTATCATCTTCTCTTTCCAGGAATGGTGGACCCACCTCTGGCTGAATGAAGGATTTGCCTCCTGGATTGAGTACCTGTGTGTAGATCACTGTTTCCCCGAGTATGATATCTGGACTCAGTTTGTTTCTGCTGATTACACCCGTGCTCAAGAGCTTGATGCCTTAGACAACAGCCATCCTATTGAAGTAATTCTGTCTTCTTCTATTTCCACGGGGGTATTTTTGCATTTGGGTAAGCGTTGAGCCAAAGGATTGAAGCAAAGTTTGTTCGATTGAATACCAAAACCTCAGTTAAAGGGGCAGAGAATCCACTAAGATAACTTAGTGATGGATGTGCATGTGCTTTGTACAGGGAGAAGTCAGCTCCTTAAACACTAGAACAAGCAAAATCAAAACCTTAACAGCAGTTAGCATGGTTCTGACTGTGAATTATCCCATTTACCACAGGTTAGTGTTGGCCATCCCTCCGAAGTAGATGAAATATTCGATGCTATTTCTTACAGCAAGGGAGCATCTGTAATCCGAATGCTACATGACTACATTGGTGATGAGGTAAAAAGATTGCTGTTAAAAAGCCAAATGTAGATTGTCAAATCTTTTCACAGTAAAAAAAACCCTTAAATCTGTGGTTTGTATTTGGGCTCTCTTTGAACTTACCAAGGAGAAATAAGGTAGTGGGAAAACGTAGGAGTTACAGATGTACGTACTGATCCTAAGATTCCTTGGCTGATTCTTGAATGCAAATGCAGTGTGGAAGGGAGGACTGAAAACCCTCCCTCCTGGTGCCATTACATGTTCAATTGTATGTTCCAGGACTTTCGGAAAGGAATGAATCTGTATTTAAAGAAGTTCCAGCAGAAGAATGCAGCTACAGGTAACTGGTGGTGGTTATGTGCTTTCTAGAGAAGTGATTTCTGGAGACAGAATTCTTGATGGATTCTCAAACTGCTTTTCCACCTGAAAGAATTGGAATGCAAGGAACTAATTGTATTTAGTTCCTTGCTTCTGGTTTCATACAATGAGTCCCCTGCCCAGCCAGAATTCAGCATCCTTTAAGGGTTCTCTGTCTCAGGAGTACGTGGCTGGGGTAATCTGCAAGCACTGCATTTCCCCTTGATAACCCCATCTGTGTCCTAATCTAATTTAGAAATGGAGTATGTTGAATTGCCAAGTAAGCCTTTTTGCAGGCTTCCTTTTGCAGTATTGATTGCATGTATGATTAAACAGTTCAAAGTCTTCCCTAACATCGCACAGCGCTTTCTTTACTCGAACCCTTTTTGTGTAGCAGGCATAAATATGGAAGAGGAACATCATGCTCTAGCAGCCAAAACCAGCCCCTGTTGTTCGATCAGCTCTTGGCATAATAGATGAAAAGCTTTAAGGAAAAGCTTTTTCTGTTTACCGTTTTGAATATTTGATGCTCCTTTTTGCTCATTTATCACAATGTGTCTTGATTGCATTTTTTTGAGGAGTAAAGAAGATTTCTTCTCCCTCTTTCCCCCCCGTGAGTGGTTTAAACTATTGCCTTTTTCTTGCCTATCACTTGTTATGGTTTGATAAAAGCACAACCCAAAACATGAAGGACAAACAGGAGTAGCAATACAGCCTCCCCCATCCGGTGCCCACAGAGTGCCCTAATAGTGCCTGACATGGCAAGACTCTGGGAGTCCTGAGTCAGACTTCTCTTCTGCAGAGGATCTCTGGGAAAGCCTGGAAGAAGTTAGTGGGAAACCTATTGCTGCTGTGATGAACACATGGACCAAACAAATGGGATTTCCACTCATTTATGTGGAAGCTGAACAGGTAAATCTAACTGTGTGGTTTTCAGCACTTCAGATGGCAAGTTCTGTCTTGAGCTCCCAGTTATGTGAATCCCTCTCTTTGATCAGGAGGCAGCACAGTGGGTCACTGTTGAGTGACAGTTCTATGTTGAAGAGAGGGGAAGTGCAGCTCGCTTGAGGAACCTAATGCAAAGCAACATGGAATTATTCCACAGGCTCTCTAGATCATGTGCTGGGAGTTTGCTGACCTTGCCTCTTGGCTCTTTGTGTGTGAAATGTGTGTGTTGGGGGGAGGGAGTGTCTGACTTAGCTCCCTTTGCCACACGTTTTGCTTCTCCCTCCAGTTGAGTTGTGCTTATTCTACAAGATTGCAGGGTGAGTGAGGATTACTGCCTGGAAGCTGAAGTCAGACAAATTCAAATGAGGAATGGGGTATGTGTGTGTTAACAATAACAGTGATGAATGCTTTGGAATCGTTTTTTGAGGTAGCTTCTTTTTCTAGAGGAGTGTAAGTTACTCCTTTGAACAGAGGGCACAGGAATGAATCGTGATATAGAGAAGCTCAGATGAGATGTTCTGAGAATTCCTTTCTCTCTTTTCCCTCTCTCAGCAAGAAGATGACAAAGTGCTGAAGTTAGTCCAGAAGAAATTCTGTGCCAGTGGACCATATACTGGTAAGATGAGTGCTAAGAGCAGGAATGGTGTGTGCACTGCTTGCTGTGCAATAGCAGAGATGAAACCACAGGCAGGTGCTCTGCTTGGGTACATGTGTTGAAGTATCTGTTAAACTGTAGAAAAGCCAAGCTCGACTGCTCTCACATGTGGTTTCCATGTCCTCCTTGCATGGAGAACAGTGTTTATCTGCAGCCTTTGGTTTGGGTTTCATTCCAAGATGCTTTTCTGATGGCCAGTTTAAGGCCATCTGAGGAACTGTGCAAGCTACTGGCTTTATAGAAGTGCTGAGATAAAAATGCCTCTGGAAGCAGACACAGATTCCACCCGTCTTCCATGCTTAGAGAAATTAAAGCATTTGGCTTGAAAGGTGATTTATTGATTCTTGGGGTTTAGCTCTAGAATTGCCCTTTTCCTTCAGATTTGTGCCTTTTTAGACTTCAGTCTAAGGAGCCTTGCTTCAGCTGCTGCTGAGCCTAGTCTGAACATCAGGCAGGGTATCTCAGTGTTGGGTGCACCCATTCTTTGTCTTTAGCCCTTCCTTTTTGTTATCTCTTCTCTCAGGGGAGGATTTGCCCATGTGGATGGTCCCCATAAGTATTTGTACAAGTGATGACCCCACCTGTGCCAAAATGCAAATACTGATGGACAAACCAGAGCTCACCTTGGTTTTGAAAGACACCAAACCAGACCAGTGGGTAAAGGTGAGTTGACACCAAGGAGCACGTATTCCTGGAAGGAAGTCTGTCACTGTCATGTTCCCTCACATTTCATTTGCCTCTTCTTTTATTCTCCCCCCTCCCCTACAGTCTTGTTTTTCTTATGGAAGGGCCTCTCTGTGCTGCTCCTCTCTATAACACTTAATGTAGTCCTTTGCCTTCCCAGACTAGTCTAGACAATTAAAACCTGAACCTTATAGAAGCCCAAACCATAAAACCAGTGTGCAACCAGAGGCAGCAGTTGAGTTGAACTGGGGGGGAGGCTTTCCTGGTACCCTATGGCAGCCCCAGTTTAGTTAAAATCCATCCTGAGCAAAAATAGTCCTGTTCATCTCTCATTAGTGGGAAGGCTTTTGCTGTTGGCAGATGAGTACAAATCTGTGAGTTGAGGTCTATCACAGACACCAGCCAAACTGAGAAAGATCTCATGGTCCATAAACTAAAAAGCATTTCCTCCTTTGTTTCTTACTTCTAATTCTTGTTCACTCTTTTGGTACTTTTCAGTTAAACCTTGGAACAGTTGGGTTTTACCGTACCCAGTATAGCCCTGACATGCTGGAGAGTTTAATACCAGCCATCAAAGACCTCTCCCTACCCCCTGTGGACAGGCTTGGCCTGCAGAATGATCTTTTCTCTCTGGTAAGCAACCCTTTGCTACTCTATTTAATAGGAGAGCTACAGGAACTGCAGAAATGGGTCTCTGAAGAGGCAAGGTGCCTTTGGGATTATTGCATACATCACAGCTATTACCTTGACAAGTTCTAACTTGTAGTCTAAGACTTAAACCCTATGGAAGCAGCGTCTAGAACTCCTGTTGCACTCTGGAGGGGAAGAACTGTAGGGTTCTTACTTCCAAAATCATTTTGAGAACCTGCTTTCTTTTAACTCCTCAAAATAAGGAGATTTCAATGATCCACTTGACTTTATCAAACCCTGTCAGCACCATGTGCCTTATGCAGTTGGGCTTGTAACGGTCCTCCACTGGAGGAGGTGCCTGTTGGGGCTTCTCACTGGGATTGCCCCCTAAGCTGGTGTTGCCAGCTCTGAACCATCAGCTGCTGTACTCTGCATTTCACAGTGTGTTTCTTCTTCTTGCTAGTCAGCAAGTGTATGGAGACTTCTAAACATGTGGGCTTGATACCCTGTCTCTCTAGCTTGTAACTCCTGTTGTGGTTTAGTTGAAGGGGTTTGAGACTGCAGCCTGAATCCCAGACTGGTTTGGGTTGAAGGGACCTTAAAGCTTATCCAGTTCCAAACCCTTGCCATGGGCAGGGACCCCTTCCACTGGAGCAGCTTGCTCCAAGCCCCTGTGTCCAACCTGGCCTTGAGCACTGGCAGGGATGGGGCAGCCACAGCTTCTCTGGGCAGTCCAATGAGCAAATCATACACGTAAGAACATTGTGTTAGGCTCCTCTTTTGGTTTCAGTATTAATCATGTTTTTATCATAGGTGAATATAGCTTAGATAATAAAAATTGATCTTCACCTCTTTTCCAGTACCATAAATTACTAGTCTAGTTCCAGATTAACAGAAATGGGAGGCATCTACAGGAGGTATTACCAACTGCACTAAGTGTAGAGGTGTTTTCATGCCTCTGTAAAGCAGTTCACATCAGCTCTCCCTGGCAGGGGTGCAAAGGCAGTGGTACTTCTTGTACTGCTTCATGGGTGCAGCAGGAAGCAGACTTCTGCAGCTTTTCATTCCCAAAAAGCAAAACTTCAGTCTCTAAATCTTTACAGTTTTTAGTTAAAATAAGATTGCTGGTGGGTGGCTGAGAATAACTCTGGGGGTTTGCTTGTGCTTGCCAGCATCGCTGCAATTCTGTTAAGTCATTTGATTTCCTTCTCTGTTTCTTGGTTGTAAAATGTGCTTAGAATTGTGTAGCTGCCTCCTTGTAAAGTGCTTACCTGTGCATAAAAAGCATCGTGTGCCATGAGGTGCTTTGACTCCAGTGTTAACTCATCTTGGCAGAACCCCGCAACAGAGAAACTAGAGTTTATATGCAGGCTGTGCAAACTGAAGGCTATAATATAATGTGATGTGCTCTTAAATGGCTTAATTCTCTTTGGAAGTAAGATTAATCTGTGTTTTTTCCTCTCCCAGGCCCGAGCTGGAATCATTAGCACTGTAGAGGTTCTAAAAGTCATGGAAGCTTTTGTGAATGAGCCCAATTATACTGTGTGGAGCGACCTCAGCTGTAACCTGGAGATTCTCTCAACTCTCTTGTCCCACACAGACTTCTATGAGGAAATCCAGGTGTTCGTGAAAGATGTCTTTTCACCAATAGGGGAGAGACTGGGATGGGACCCCAAACCTGGAGAGGGTAGGAAACTTATGCTCTGAAATCCAGTAGTGCTTTTGGAAAACTCCTGTCTAAATGAGCCATCAAGATATTGGGAACGGGGAGAGAAGGGAGGAAGAAGAGGCTGAAGAGGGTGTTCAGGGGTATTTCCATGCTTAAAACCACACAAACCCCCACAATAACCCCCTGTTATCAAGCACAAGCTAAAATGGTCACTGGCTGATTACAGATCTTCTTTAGCTTTGCATCTATTGGAGTGCCTAAAACTCATTAGACTGCAAGGTTGGAAAGCCATATGTGTGTGTGTTTGCTTGTCCTAGCCCTGTTGTAGATGCAGATGGTTACTAGTACAGCCTTAGCTCAGGTTGCAGGCCTAGCTTGATGTGTTTGGGCTGGAATCATCTTCTCCTGACCCTCTTGCCCTAAAAAACCAATGTGTTCTCCAGCTGGCACCAAGGAAGGTGAGAAAAGGTTTCTTCCGATATCCTCAAGCATGTGGAAGGGTTCTTATACAGCTCTTTCTTGATTACTTTAGGTAGAAGAACACTTAATTATTGAATTGTGTCTCCAAATAATACTGTTTTCCTCCTGCTCCTCACTCATTAGGTCATCTAGATGCACTTCTGAGAGGGCTGGTCTTGGGCAAACTAGGAAAAGCTGGGCACAAGGCGACATTAGAAGAAGCCCGACGCCGATTTAAGGACCATGTGGAAGGAAAGCATGTGCTGTCAGCTGATCTGAGGAGTCCTGTAGGTTACTGTAAATGTTGGTTCTCTAAAGGCTGTCCCCTCTGTCTTAGGACTGTGTGCACTGAGCTCTTGGATTTCCAAGGATAGGGAAGGTATGGGACCAGCTGGTTTTGGCAGAGGTAGTGGGAGCTTGGAGAAGTCCAGTTATGAGGAAAATTATACTGGGGAGCATGGTACAGTCATCTGTGTCTCTTGAATCAAGTAAGCCTCATCTCTCATGGCCAATACATAGTCCTAACTCATAAGCTCAGCTGTACCACACTGACAGCCACAGGGCAACTCCGGTCTCTAGAGTGTGTTGCTCTTTGGGTTTTGAAGACTATTTAGGTGCAGTGCTGAACTTCTACTCACTTGCATCCAGCCATGACCTGCCTGCATCCTCCAGGTTCGAAAGCATCATGGTCAGCTTGGCTCTGCAGAGCACAAAGTCTGACTATGGTGGATATGTACTGAGCATATATGAAGTACTTAATGCTTAGGTGTGGCTTGGTACAAAGCTCTCCATTTCTAGTGTTTTGCCATGGTTGAAATTAACCAAAATCATGCTGAAATTGAGGAGGAGCTGAAGGAGTTGATGCATCTCTCAAATCCACTTTTAACATGGAAGGGATCAGTGCCAGATCTGTTCACTTGCCTGAAATCTAACCCAAACATGTAGAGATTGATGGTTGCATTTCTGAAAGTGTGGGTTTTGAAGGACCTTCCTTGTTTATGCTCTGTCTTAGGTATATCTAACTATTTTGAAGCATGGAGATAGTACTACTTTAGACACTATGCTGAAGGTGAGTGCACACTCTCGTTACCACTGCCAGCTTATGCAACGAGAAGCTAAATATTCCACCCTACAAGTTCCTCTAAGACGTAGTAGCTGATGTTCTACAGATGATGTGAACTCTTGGGCTTCCTTATGGGCTTCCTTGGTCCATGTGTAGTAGGAAATTGCCACCTAGTGGAGTGTTGCAGCTTTCAGTTTAGGATTCTTTCTCATTGCTGGGAGGCGTGGTCCTCCTTGACCTTATATAGTGGTGAAGATGAGTTTATTACTACTGGTAATTCCCGCTGATGTACGTGTAATGAGGTCTGTAATGTGGAGAGCTGCAGGATGATTCATGAACAAGTTCAATTTGTCATGTATTACCCTTGACAACTAATCTAGCAGCTTTAGTTCAGTGCTGGGTAAGAAGACAGCATTTAATCGTGTGCACTAATATTACTCCCTTTGGCTTTGAAGCTTCACAAGCAAGCAGACATGCAGGAGGAGAAGAACCGAATCGAACGAGTTCTTGGAGCCATCTCTCAACCAGAACTGATTCAAAAAGTTCTCACCTTTGCACTTTCAGTAAGTCATTGGGAAAGCTGCTGCTTCCTTCACCTCTGCTGATGGAGTGCTTGGAATGCATTAGAATAGGAGGAATAGGAGGATTAAATCTCTGAGTTGTATCTTAAAGCTTGGGAGGGGAAGATGAAGGTGGCGTTCACAGATGGGATGTAGAAGTGCATAAAGCCAGGATGTTGTATTTGTTGGAACACTCTTGAATACCTGTCTACACTCTCACCTTCAGGAAGAGGTACGTCCCCAGGACACGGTATCTGTTATTGGTGGAGTAGCTGGAGGCAGCAAGCAGGGGAGGAAAGCTGCTTGGAAATTTGTAAGGGACAATTGGGAGGAACTTTATAATCGATACCAAGGTGGATTCTTAATATCCAGACTAATAAAGGTACGTGCAGCTGAGACAAACCCTGTTCATGTACAGGACCAAACCTAAACTGTTAGATCTGAGATGCTAAATGCTTACCCTTGGTTAATGTGGTGTTTTTTTTCCTTCAGCTAACAGTGGATGGATTTGCAAATGATAAAATGGCTGCAGAAGTTAAGGTAAGACATTGTAAGGAAAGGAGCGATGAACTTCATCTGTGACAAACGTTGTGTGCCCTGGGCTGTAAGCACTGATGGAAGAGGCATGAGTTTGTGCTTTGAACTGTGCCTCTATTTTGTCTGTTGCCCAGTTCCCAGATTGCTTTAGGTTATTTTATTGAAAGGTGTTAAATTGGCATTTTCAGAGCAATGTGATTCCCATTTCATTACTTTCACTCATTGAAACTTTAGCAAATCCAGCCCAGTTTCTGGCAGGGATTTTAAGCCTCCCCAAAAGACAACCTTTAAAGATAGCTGTAGTAAAGCCAGTAGTTGTCACAACTTCTGTAGTAAGCTGAAACTCAAGCTGCCACTTTCTCCCTCCCCACACTGATACAACACATTTGGGGCTGATGGCACTAGCACCCAGGGGAATTAACACAGCAGGAACTGGTTAAATTCCATGTTAAACAGCTTTATGTGATCATTTGTGCTGGGCACTAAGAGCAAGGCTTTGATGCAAAGCAGGTGAACGTGTTTGTAGAGAGTCTGTTGTGAAGTTGGTGGCTCAAGGTGGTGGGATTTCAGTGCTGGGCTTGAGCATCCCCTCGGTTTGGGAGCACAGGCACTGGGCTTGGCAGAGTTCTGATGGTGTGGGTAGCTTTTATCATTTACTCTTTGCCCATTTACAGGGACTCCTTGGAAGAAGAAACAAAAATATGGCCCTTAATTATCAATTTCTTGTTAGGAAATTGCTTGGGAGGGATTCTTATTGAAAGGACAAGCTGAGCCGTGAACTCCATCCATCAGTGTTTATCACCCAGTGATCTCTTCTTAGAAAGGATTTAGTAGCAGAAGTGATTTCACAGAGGAATCTTCCTCTATAGTCTTAAAGAACACTTCCCAAACCACTTCCCAGACCAAATCAGAGCTGCTTTCCAGGGTTGCTCCCTGAGGCAGCAGGCCTTTAGCTGGTGCACTTCATGCGGCTGCGTCTCTGTGTCACCCTGTACTGGACATGAGGGTGACTCCCAGCCATGCCAGCTTGCTCTGCCCTTTAACCAACCCTAAAATGCAAAGTCACAGCAGCCTCTGGTGCAGTTTCTTCAGCTGTTTGCAAGGGATCGATATTGTTGCTTCTGGAGGAAGAAATGTGAGACTATTCAGCAAAACTCCTGAGTGCTGCTGGTGCTTGGAGGTCATTATGCAGCTTGGAAAGAGGCCTAGGTAGAACGCTCAGCAATCTGATACCCAGACAAATGCTTCTGCAAAATGACTCGAGGCTTCTGTTAGTGTCTTCTTCCAAGTATCCAGAAATACACACTTGATTTGCTGCTCGCTTGTTGCTTCCCAATGAGGGACTGAACTCATCTCAAGTGCTGCTTGCTGTCCCTGGTGTAGAAATGCTGCTTTTCCTGAGCAGAGAAATGGAGCATTTTGCTGTACCTGAAGTTGCCCATATTCCAAATGTGACAAGCAGCCTGCAAATGCCTCAGTGTGTGATGTTGGTGGGAGCAGGACCATGGGCATAGAATCACAGAATACTTAGGGTTGGAAAGGACCTTAAGATCTTGCAGTTCCAACCCCCTGCCATGGACAGGGATGCATCACACTAGACCATGTTGCCCAAGGCGCTGGCCTTGAACACTGCTAGGGATGGAGCATTCACCACTTCTCTGGGCACCCTGTGGCAGTGCCTCAGCACCCTCACAGGGGAGAGCTTCTTCCTTATCTCCAACCTGAACTTCCCCTGTTTCAGTCAGAACCCATCACCCCTTGTCCTATCACTCAAGTCCCATACCCAGCATCCTTGTAGGCCCCTTCAGACAGTGGAAGCTGCTCTGAGGTCTCCACGCAGCTTCTCTTCTCCAGCCTGAACAGCCCCAATGTTCTCAGCCTGGCTCCATATGGGAGCTCCTCCAGCCCCTGCTCATCTTCATGGCCTCATCTGGCCTTGCTCCAACAGCTCCAAGTCCTGTTGCTGAGGACACCAGCACTGCACACAGTTGGGTCTCATGAGTGCTCTGCTGTAGAACCTCAATCCCATAGCTGTATAACCCAGGGAGCTCGGTGACTTCTAATCTCCCCTGTGCCCGTGTTCCACCCTGATGGATGCTTATGTACCTTTTCCATTACAAAGCCATCACACTTAACATTATTTACAACTGACTCCATTGTGCTTTTGTGCCTCCTTGTCTCCCCATACAGGCCTTCTTTGAGAGTCACCCAGCTCCATCAGCAGAGCGCACGGTGCAGCAGTGCTGCGAGAACATCCTGCTCAACGCAGCTTGGCTCAAGAGGGACGCCGACAACATCCACCAGTACTTCCTGCAGCGCAAGGCCCCACCAGCCATGGTGTGAAGCTGTGCATGCCCCTGCTGCAGTCCTGCTGCCGCCTCATGGGGAGAGGGAGGAGCGACCCCACCACCTGATTCGTAATGCCAAGAATTTGGAGTCTTTTTTTCTCAAGCCAGTGGGGATTGGACAATGAATGTAGTTTAACTGGTTCCTGCTCACACTCCAGATTGAAATCCTAGTCAAATTCTCAGCAATTCAGCAAAAAAAAACCAACACAAACCACACACAAAAAAAAGAAAGGAAAAAAAAAAGAGAGAGAAAAATGTGTAAATATGATAGTAATAAACTAGAGCATAACAAAACTGTGAAACTTCCTCAAGCCTTGTCAGTGGTTCAACTATTTAACACCCCCCTCCTGACACTTCTTGACAGATGTTCTGGTTTTTACACCCTCCCCTCCCAAAACCAAGTTCTCAAATCAAAGGAACCCACTGGTTTCTGGGTCAGTGGCATTTTGTGGCGAGCCCGGGGCAGGACTTGGGTGAATGCCCTCTTGAGCGTGGCGGTGTGGAACAGGTCGCTGGGGAAGGCAGGTAGCTGGTATAACATAGAGTCCGTGCAGCATTGGAAGCGTGAGGTTTTGGGGAGAGATGTTCCTGCAGCACCCCCTTACTCCCCCCCCCAACCTCAGGATAGCGAGTTCCCTCCCTTTTGTGTTACCTCTCAGCACAAAGACAAACTGTTCTGTTGCTCTTCGGTTTTCCTCCTTGGATCCACTTGCTGATGTCCTTCTTAGAGATAACGGGATTGTAAGGAAACATCTTTCATAGCCACATTAAAGAAGAGAAAGAGTCATGCAATTTGTTTGGGTTTTCTTTATTACCCCCCCCTGCACACACACTCCCTCCCTAAATTGCACCCTCCCCATGCATGCAGATGAGGAGGTGACTCCCGTGTGGCTGCTCTTGGGGCAGGCCTCTCCTCCTCGAGACACACCATTAACCTGGCTAAAAGACCCAGCTTATCCAAGCTCCTCCTGGCCCTAGCAACGGTAGCTTCTTGTTCCTTTCTTGTGATGTCGATGGTCATTTGATTCAGAAGCCTTAAATTAGTGATGACTGACGTGCTGATGAAGTCCAAGCTCTGTGCCATCATTCCCTTCCCAAAGCAGCGTGGTCTACTAACCAGGCACGACACCCTCTAATTACAAAGGTTGGGAGTTCCATCTCTTTTTACCCTTTAACAGGAAGTCCTATGTGGTGTGGCTTCACTGTGTTTCGGAAGGTCATCAGACTAATGTCAGACTGCTTCCCTCACCCGGTTTTGTGCTATTGTTTAAAAAGAAAACGAAGATTAAACCAGTTGGCGTTAATAAAACTGTCAATGTGAAACCCATGGCCTCATCCTGTGTTCTGTTTCAAGAGCGTTGCTGCTTTCAGAGGACCTCAACCATGGAGGGAGCAGCCCCAGGTCTGGTGTCCGTGGTGCCTTTAACAGCTCCAAGGAAAGCCTTGTCCTCTTCCTCTGCTCTCAGGGCTTAGGGCAGCGGGATGAGCACATAGACCCCAAGTGTAAGTAGATCTTTGTGTAATCTGAATCAAGAGTGGAGCTGAGCGCTTTAACCAGGGAAAGGAAAAGGGGGAAGAAATGTGAATAAGCAGATTTCTCTTAAATACCTGAAGACTCGAGGGATCTGCAAGAAGGGATGGGATTGGGCAAGTGCTGCTGATGCTAACCATGATGAGCCATAACAGGGACATGCACCAGGTCAGTTACTAGTGAGGTGCAGAGCTCTTAACCAGCATCATGTTGGTTCCTACCCCTAGGGCTGCTGAAACAAGGCTGAAGCAGGAATTCTCTGCCTCCCCATCACATCTGTTAACCCGCCTGCGGGTTTTCCCTGCTGTCAGCACTGCAGAGCCAATGGGATTTCAGAGGGGTAAGCTGGTTTCTCTTCTGCTTCTTGCACATGGACAAAATACCATGCAAAGCTGTGATTCCAGCGGGAGCGGTGATGTATGAAACGAGAAGGGCCGGAGCTGCAAGCTGAAGTGATCTTGTTTGGACTTTCAACAATGCAGATGACATGCAAGCAGTGCAAGGAGAGGGCCAGAAATAACAAGGTCGTGGTCAGTGAGCAAACTGAATGGTCTGCAGCAGACTGACCCGGCCTGGGCTCTTCTGCATGCAAAGAAAGTAGATTTGAATCCTTCATGGAAGCGATTTGGGATTTGGCCGCTTAATGTGAAACCTTTTTCATCACAGACACTGGTTTGGGTTGGAAGGGACCTTAAAGGTCACCCAGCTCCAACCTCTGCCATGGGCAGGGACCCCTTCCACTGGAGCAGCTTGCTCCAAGCCCCTGTGTCCCAATCAGAGGGCAGCAAAGAAAGAAACTTATGAACCTTTAAAAAAACAACCCAAAAAAGAGCAAAACCCCGGCCTTGACTTCCCAAATCCTTCTTTAATGTGAGCTGGTTTCTGTCTGTGCAGGGTCATGAGCTGCAGTGAGGTCCCTGCGATACCCACCATTGACTGTCCCTGTGATTAGCTGTTACATCGCTGTGTTTCAGAGACTTCACACCCATGTGCTGCTGTAAAGGTACCTTAAACACATACAAAACACTTGCATGAGTGACAGTGCTCCATGTGGGGCCATCGTAAAGGAGTTTTGGCCACCAGGATCATGGCTTGTGGCAGCCATAGAGCTGGTACCAACCTTTTCCACTGCCAAGCAGGTCCTGGTTAGCAAAGGCAGATGATGCGGGGCTCATCCTTCAGTGATGATGTCAACGTGAGCACCCTTCCACTCCCACGGAAGAAGGACCAAGCAGTAGCAACCGATCCCAAACCCAAGCTGAATCCCATTTGGGCTCAATTTACTGTGCTAAATTTGTGGTTTAAGGTTAAAGTGAGTCATGTTCCAGTGAAAATGTGTGGGGAAAACACATGGATGTGCCAAAACTCAGAGCCAAAGAGAGCTGTGCTCAGCTCGCATCATCTTCGCTGCAGTCACGGTGTGGACTCTTCCTTTGCAGGCCCCCAAACCAGGAAGGAAAAGTGAGGTTATGTGCTTGGAAATCATTCCCTCTAAGCAAGAAGGACCAGGTGAGTGTCTCTGCTCAGCCCTGTGTGCTGGTGGGATTCCAACCATTCCAGGTTTCCTTTTCATTCACCTGTTAGGAACATCCATCTTCTCCATCGCAGCTAAGTGATCCTGCTGGCTGCTCCTGCGATGGAGCACACAGGAACCCACCCTGCTGCTGCAGCTCAGGCTTAGGGCCGTGCTGAGCACTGAGCAGCTCTGATGGGAGGTTTTGGTCCCGATGGAGGATGCACGCGTTGTCCTTGCAGTGCACGTGGTGGTTCGTGTCAGCTGCTGCTTGTGTTAACTTCTTAGACCTGGCATCAGCTGAACTCTGCCTTTATGGTGCTTCCTTAGAGGTTTCCACTGTGCTCCAAGGGTTGGGTGGATATAAAGTCAAAGATCATTCCCATCCCTTGAAATTGAGGTAGGGTTTCCTGAAGGTACGTCAGCCCCATAGGCTCAGGAGGGGAACTTGCTGCTTAGTTCATATTCTAACCATGCAGAACTAAGCCCAAGGACCCCGTCTCTGACTCTAGCAGCTCTCTGCCAGTGGCTGTGGCTGGTTTATGAAGGCAGGAGATGATACAAGCCTCTGTAATGTGAATGCTGAGTATTCCATTTATGGCCATGAGGAGAAAACCAGTGCATGGAGCTCACAGCTTCAGCCCCAGTGCTACCAGGGCAGGGGGGAGCCGGCTCTAGAGCCTCTCTCATCCTCATCTGACACTGGGGTCTGGGGTTTTCATTGCTACCAAGGGCAAATCTGCACAAAACTCTTGAATCTTCCTCTCCTGGCTTTCCTATGGGAGCAGTCCCTATGGAAAGTCATCCTGGGGTTGTAATTATCAGTGTTCTTCTGTGTGTGCTAGAGCCTCAGGAGCGGGGAGGGCAAGAGAGAAGCATCTTGGAGCTGCATCCCAACTGCAGCTGTGTGAGGCTCCCCTGCTCCCATCCTGTCCCTCTTTCCCTCTGCACAAGAGCGAGTTTCACCCCGTTTCCTCCCCAGTGCTGCTCAGCAAGTTGACTTTGATGTGCTACCAGGGAACTCCATTCCTTCAGGCTGAATAATGTCATAAGGCATCCGTTCTGTTCTGTGAGTCAAGCTGTAAATAGTCATTGGTCTTAAAAAGGGGCAGTGCTGTGAACTGTTGACAGTTCTGCCCATCCAAACTCTGCTGCTGTGTTACTGGGGAGCAGCACCCTCTGCTCTCCTCCTGCTAGCACTGTGGGCCATGGGCATCCCATCTCAAAGCTTCACAGGCCCTTGTTCCACAGGTTAGGCTCAGCTTTGGTTTTCCATATGGAATGGCTGAGATGCAGGAAATGCTGTTTGCAACAGGATGAGGGCAGCAGGACAAACAGGATTCAAATCCCAGTGTATGGACATCTTTCTCTGGGCACCCTGTGCCAGCGCCTCAGCACCCTCACAGGGAAGAGCTTCTGCCTAAGAGCTCAGCTCAGTCTCCCCTCGGGCAGGTTCAAGCCATTCCCCTTGCCCTGTCCCTACAGGCCCTTGTCCCAAGCCCCTCTCCAGGTTTCCTGCAGCCCCTTTAGGCACTGGAGCTGCTCTAAGGTCTCCCCTTCAGGAGCCTTCTCTTCTCCAGGCTGCCCCAGCCCAGCTCTCTCAGCCTGGCTCCAGAGCAGAGCTCCAGCCCTTGCAGCATCTCCATGGCCTCCTCTGGCCTCCCTCCAGCAGCTCCACGTCCCTCTGGTGCTGGGCCCCACACGCCTATGCAGAGCTGCTGCATTCACCCCGATCCCGTTTCTGGGGCTCAAAACATACCCAGGGGATGATTCATTACCGGGAGCAGCAGAAGCGGCAGGGCCGGGCCGCCAGGGCACCCTCCCTTCTCCCTGCGGCCTCGCTGCTCCTTTATTCCCCGGCCGCAGCCTGATCGCGTTACTAATTGCTCCCTCCCGGGGCCATACAGGGAATAGAGCCCTGCAGGTCACGGAGCCGCCGTTACCGGCCTCAAACTCTTTTAACGAGCGGGGCCGGGCCGCACCGAGGCAACCCTCCTCGCCGCTCCCGGTGCAGCGACCCCCGCGGCGGGGACCACCGGCTCCGGCCCGGTTCTCCCCTCCCCGGTACGGCCCAACACGTGGCCGGGGGGGGGCGGAGGAGTCGGTACAACACCTCTCTCTTTCCCACCTCCCCGTTCACCGGGGCCGCCCCGGAGCTACTGGTGCCCCCCACGTGTCCGCCGCTCCCCTCCACGGCGCGCCACCGGGGGGCGCCCGCCTCGCCACCGCCCAATCACCGCGCTCGCCGCCGGAAGCCCCACCCCCTGTCTTCCTTTCCCGCCCTTCTCTTAGACACCCCCCCCCCCTCAACCTCCACTACCCTCCAATGACCAATGGGAATCGCGCTCCCTGACAGCCAATCAGCGCGGCGGCGCGGGGCGCGCGCGGCTGGTATCCCTCCGCCGCCCGCCCGGCCCCTGCTCGGTGTGTGTGTGTGTGCGCGCGCGCGCGGCCACCGCCGAACCTCCTTTCCCCCCCCCTAACCCCGGTTGTTCTCTGTCTCCCTCCGCCGCCCGCAGCAGCCGGAGCCGCCGCCGCCGCCGCTGCCTCCGTTCCCCCCCCCTTCCCCTTTCCCCCCCGCCCGGAGGGGACCACCCGCCTCGGCAGGCCCCGTCTGACCCTAAACCCCCCCCTCTCTTCCCCTCCCTTCCGCCCCGCTTCCCCCCCCTTCCCTCTCCCCTCCCTCCCTCCCGCCGGAGCCACCACGCCGCCGCCATGGAGCTCATCACCATCCTGGAGAAGACGGTCTCACCGGGTAAGGCATGGGAGGGGAGGGGGTCGCGGTGGGGCGGGGGCCGCGCAGCCTTGAGGCGGCGGCTGAGGCCCCGGTAGGGTGTGGGCCGCGGCGGGGCGGGGGGGGGAGAGGCCCAGCAGGGCCGGTGCCCGTGGAGGGGTAGAGGGAAGCCGGGGAGGGCAGGGAGCGGTGCGGCCGCGGTGTCCGCCTGAGGGCCGCGGCCGTTGGGCCCCGCGCGCCCGCCCGCTGAACTGACGCCGGTTCCTTCCCCCCCCTCCCTCCACCGCCCGCCGCAGACCGCTCCGAGCTTGAGGCGGCGCAGAAGTTCCTGGAGCAGGCGGCGATCGAGAACCTGGTGAGAGAACGGGAAGGGGACCGGGAATGGGATCAACGGGAATGGGATCAACGGGAACGGGACCGGGGCCGGTGGCGGGCGCTTCCCCTCCCCCTCCCCTGCACCCCGCCTGAACCGCCATGGGGCGCAGCCTAACCCTGCCCGCGCCCGGCCGCCGCGCCCAGCCAATAGCAGCGTGTCTTTCTCCTCGTCCAGCCAATAGCAGCGCGTCTTTCTCCCCCGCTAGCCAATAGGAACGCGGCGCCGGGCGAAGGGGCCGCGCCGGCTGCGGGAGCGCCATGTGCGGCCGCGGCCATCGCTGCCCCGGGCGCCGCCCGGCCCCGCCGCTTCCCCCCTGCGCTGCCCCAGGGCCCCGTTCAGCCTCCCCGCAGCGGCATCGCCGCGATGCGCTCGGTGCCGGCGGGGCTGCGAGCTCCGGAGCGCGGGGAAGGGGGGGGTCAGGGCAGGGCAAGCGGGCCCGGGGCTCCGGCCGTGACCTTCGTGAAGGGAATGAAAAGAGGGGGAAAAAAGCTTAAAAAAGGCAAAAATAGAGGGGAAAAAACCAACCCCACCCCCTCTGCTCCTCACCGGAGCGGGGTGCGGAGCCCTTGGGGGAAGGGTGGTTCCTTGCGTCTCAGGGTGTCCCAGCAACCAGCGTTCCCGTTGTTATCTGTGTGTTAGCATTGGGAGCACGAATCGTGTCCTTTTTGGGTTCAAAGTCTTTGGTTTTGGTGTGCTGAGGCGCTGGCACAGGGTGCCCATAGAAGCTGTGGCTGCCCCATCCCTGGCAGTGCTCAAGGCACAAGGGCTTGGAGCAAGCTGCTCCAGTGGAAGGTGGCTCTGCCCATGGCAGGAGTTGGAGCTGGATGAGCTTTAAGGCCCCTTCAACCCAAGCCAGGCTGTGGTTCTATGGTTCCATACCCTGGTGTACACCAGGAAGGTCACAGAGCATTGGAACTGGTGTTTGCTAAGTCTCAGGATCTCCCTGGCTGGCCTCGAGGACCCTGGGCAGTGTTATGGGCAGTGGGGCAGGGTGATGGCTGGAGCTGGTTGTGACCCTGCCTCTCAGGCTTTTCAAATGCCAGTTTTCCAAGGTTTCCTTTGTGTTTGCTGCCTTGTGAGAGCCAGGTCAAGGTAGGGAGGAGAGGGCCTGGAGCTTATGATGGGGCTAAAAATGAGTGTCCCGATGTGGAATGGTCCAGTGGTTGAGGAGCTCCGTGTAGGCTCTGAGGTCTGTTAATGGCTTGGTTTGGCAGGAGGATGAAGGCTTCAGGGCAATCCCCATCACAGGAACAGGATTGAGATGGGCAGGGGTAGGAGCTGCAGGGTCCAGCCAGAGGTTCTATGCTCAGGGCAGCAGCAGAGCTGGAAGTGGTCCCTCACGTGGTTGATGGAGATGCACCTGCAGAGCAGCTCGTTCTTCTTCATTTCCTCCCTGTAGTTAATTTAGACCCTTTTCTGAGGCTTTCATTGACACTTCCCATAGATGCAAGTGCTGAGGTCGTGCACATCTGTGTTTGCTTTGAGCCTCAGGCCTGGAAGGCTTCATGTCACGCTTCTCACCTTCAGCTAGAATTCTCCTTAAAGCTCATGAAAAGCCGAATGGTTTCTTGCTAATTTATGGGTGAGAAATCCAAAGACACTTCCTCACCTTTCAGTTTCAGTGCAAACACAGCAATACTTTCATTTTTGTCCTGTGGACTTCTTAAATGCTAAATCAAACCAGAGTGTAAACCGTGATGCTTGGGAGGTGGGTTTAGTGTGTGTATTTGCAAGGCTTTTGTCTATTGCATTGAGATGATCCAATGGCTTGTGTTCATCAGTTGGAGTTGTCCCATGTTTGAGTGTTGGACACACTGACAGCCCAACTAAAATCTCCTTTTGAGGGGCTGTGCTTGGTCAGTGATAATGTGCAATGCAAAGTAATGGATTTATTCAAGCGTTCTGATGAACTTTGGGAAGTGAGGTTTTAAAAATGGCTTTTTGGTGCCCCAAAACCTTTGTATGGCTCTGAAGTTGGGTTACAGACGTTATAGGACAGGGTTGTGCGTAACTGTGTGTGAGGTGGGTTCAGGAAAAGCGTATTCCTGCTTGGTGGGAAACGGGTTGAGGATGGCACAGCTGCTTCCAGCCTTTCCTAGCAAGGTTTTCCTGGGAGGCAGAACCCTTTGGAGGGGCAGCTCCAGTGCTGAAAGCTCCCCATGGCTGAAGCCTCTGAAACAGAGGAGGAAGGGGTTGAAATGCAGGGGCATTCCTCACCTGCACCAATAGCAAGTGGCAGGGATGCCAGGTATTTTTATCCACACACGTCCACCCTTTGAGAGGGGGGTGATCCCCATGCGTGTCTCTGCCCCTTTGATGGCAAAGGAGGAAGTTTGTAATATCCCAGCCCTGCAAAGCAGCGTCTCATTTCCCACTTGAGCAATGCCTGTGTTATAGTTTGGGTATTGCCTTGAAGCAAGGGACAAGTAGCAGGGACTTCTTCACCGTGTTTGATACCCATCCAGAAAATACATATCTTGGCATGTGAGCCCAGTAGTTTATTTAAAGGAATACTTAAAGCAGACAGGAGCAGGGAAGGTAAAATAAAGTCCAGCAAAGTCAATGCCTGCTTATGCTGCTTCCCAGCTGTTCTGATTAGGAACTTAACGCCTGTAATCGTGCCATAGAGCCCTGTGGTGGTGATGGTTTCATCACGGCCGGGTAGAGAAGGAGCTTTGGTGACTTATGGACCCATTTCTCTGGGTGATTTGGGGTTTTCCCCCTCCTTGGTGGTGCTGATCCTGGTTCCCTTCCCAGCCAACCTTCCTGGTGGAACTGTCCAGAGTGCTGGCAAACCCTGGCAACAGCCAAGTTGCCCGCGTGGCGGCCGGCTTGCAGATCAAGAACTCCCTCACCTCCAAGGACCCCGACATCAAGGCTCAGTACCAGCAGAGATGGCTCGCCATCGACGCCAACGCCCGCAGGGAGGTCAAGAACTACGTAAGTTGGGTCCCTTTTTGCTCCTTCTCTTCTTGTTTCTTCACCATGGGGATGAGGGGTAAGCATCTTGTCCATCCTTTTCCACCTGAGGAATGGTACCTATCTGATACAGGTTGGCCTTACCCTTTATCTATTTCTTTTAATGTTAGTAGGATCTGTATAGAGCAGGATAAGGTTGGGTGGGTGATGACAATGTCACTTTAGGCTTTTCCTATCTTGCTGATCACTAAGGGGCAGCTTGCAGTGCAGACAGGATCTGTCCTATTGGGTACTGGAGCTACAAACCCGCTTTGTTACAGTTTTCTGTCAAGTGTCATTAGAAACCCAGTGATTTTTAGGTGGATCTATGGAAAATGAAGGGGTATAACTGGAAATACTGAAGCAAATTTGCACCCTTCTGTTCTGAATGAAACAGTTATTGAAGAACAGACAAATTACAATTAAAAGGAAAGAAAATTACTCAGCCCTGTTGAGATTATCCTGGCATAACCAGTGCAGGACTTAGGGGGGGTTGAACCCCCAATTTGCTTAGCATTGGCAATGTTGCTTTCCAAGACAAGGGGTTGCTTGGTGAGTCACGGCATGCAGCGTTGTGTATGGGTTTTAAAGGATATGGTGGAAGTCCATGCAATCCCACAGCTGGATCTCACTTCCTGAACAGGGCAGCCGTGGCCAAGTTGAGTTCAAACACCACTTGTCTGCGGTCATGGCTTTGTTTGCAGCAGGAGGAAGCAGAACAAAGTGCTTTATAGGGGAAGGGGGGTGATGTGGATAACAGTCCCATCCCCATCTCTCCTTGCTCACCAACACAAACCATCTCCTGCCAATCTCTCCCCAGGTTTTGCAGACATTGGGTACAGAGACGTACAGGCCCAGCTCAGCCTCTCAGTGCGTGGCTGGCATTGCCTGTGCAGAGATCCCCATGAACCAGTGGCCCGAGCTCATTCCCCAGTTGGTGACGAACGTTACGAATCAGCACAGCACAGAGCACATGAAAGAGTCGACGTTGGAGGCCATCGGCTACATCTGTCAGGACATCGTGAGTATATGTGGGGGACTGGGCTGAGTATGTTTGAAGTGCTCTGGAGCCAGGCTGAGAGAGCTAAGAGGGGCTTGGGACAAGGCCCTGTAGGGACAGGCCAAGGGGAATGGCTTGAACCTGCCCGAGGGGAGACTGAGCTGAGCTCTTAGGCAGAAGCTCTTCCCTGTGAGGGTGCTGAGGCGCTGGCACAGGGTGCCCAGAGAAGCTGTGGCTGCCCCATCCCTGGCAGTGCTCAAGGCCAGGTTGGACACAGGGGCTTGGAGCAAGCTGCTCCAGGGGAAGGGGTCCCTGCCCGTGGCAGAGGCTTAGAACTGGATGAGCTTTAAGGTTCATTCAACCCAAACCATTTGATGATACCTGATAGGCTGTAATGCTTCCTTGGGTCTGTCTTTTAATACTTGCCTGGAGGATGCCTCTGTGCTGACAGAACAATGGGCAGTAAACATGAGGGTGGCACCTGGAAGGACTGACCTGCTTTCACAGCAGAAATCCAGGGCATCTCTCATAAGGTTCAGCTTGAAGTCTATGTTGCTGCAGTTATATGATGGTGAGGGCTGCTGCTACAAAACTTCAGCTGAACATCCAGCTGTGTAAACCATTACAGATGAGTGATAAGCTTTTGATTCCTTTCTGTGTTGGGGAAACTTGACAACTGCCTTCCCTCTTGCACAAGGAGGCCTTTGATTCTTTATTTGGGAGGTTTTGATGCACAGCTCATTGAGACACCTTCTCCAGAAGGTGTCATGGAAGCTGTGGCTGCCCCATCCCTGGCAGTGCTCAAGGCCAGGTTGGACACAGGGGCTTGGAGCAAGCTGCTCCAGTGGGAGGTGTCCCTGCCCATGGCAGGGGTTGGAGCTGGATGATCTTAAAGTCCTTTCCAGTCCAAACCAGCCTGGGGTTCCGTGATGATCAGCACAGTTTGCAGTACCACTGTGTTGCATCAAGTATCCAGTGGGAATTACTAAATCCCTGGGTGCTGCCTGACCTTCCACTGGAAAACAAAGTTAGCTGCTGGTTTTTTGGTGCCACTGAATGCCTTGGAGAATGTACGTGCAGCATTCACTGATGGAGCTTCAGTTTAGTGAGGCAGAAAGGGAACTCTTCTGTTTGGGGCTTTCAGCAGGCTGCAAGGGATTGGTTTCACTGTTGGCTGTTAACTCTCCTTGCTCCTTGTCCAGGCAATGGTATTTTTTCCCTGTATCTCAAAATATTGGCAACTTTACCATTGAAAGTCTCTACCTCAGCTGCTGGCGTAGATCTCTGCCCAGTGTATAAAGGGATTGGAAATCAGTATGGTTTAAGTTGCTAATTGAATGAAGTCAAGTAGTCCAAAGCTTTTTGGCCTATTGTTTGAGACAGTGGGGTTTATTTAGCATTGGTGGCTTGAGTATCAGGAGTATCTGCTCAGCTCAGTCTAATCACTCCTGTCCCAGCAGCTGGGAAGACACAATGGTGGGTGAATTCCTTGTGCTTGTGTTCCAGTCCTCCCAGTGAGCAGAGAACTTCTGTTCTTTTAACACCTTTAAACTTGGAATATTTCAGGATCAAACTTAGGATGCTTTAAAATACAGAGGAAGCTGTTCAGCTGGCAAATAACTTTATTAACACTTCTTTTTAGGATCCAGAACAGCTTCAGGACAAATCCAATGAGATCCTGACAGCCATCATCCAGGGAATGAGAAAGGAAGAGCCCAGCAACAATGTGAAGCTAGCAGCTACTAACGCACTCCTGAACTCTTTGGAATTCACCAAAGCAAACTTTGACAAAGAGGTGAGGGGGGTGACAACTCATGGCTTAAACTGCAAGGGCTGGATCCATGGTCTGTGATGAGAAATCATGCACCACGCTGAGTTTTGATGCATAATCCTGTTGCAGCTGAGACTTGGATTCATTTCTGTAGGACTGATGCGTGCTTGTTGTGACATAGAAATACTGTGGAACCTCTTGGAGGTTCATCAATGGAAAGGAAGTGTCACTGGCTTTCTTTTGGATACATTTGAGCTGACCTTAGAGTTCAGCCTATGAGATGCTCTGCTTCCCAATCAGACTACCCTATAATGCTGCTGCGAGCGTACAAGCTTGGATCAGCACTTCCTTTCAAGTGGTGTGGCAGCAAGCCAGATTTAACTTTGCCTCTGGAAATTGTGGGGGGAGGAAGGCTTGTGAGAGGCTTTAGAAGAGGGGCCTTGGAATAAGACTCTGTCCAGAACAGGAAAATCTATTGATTCCCCTTTTCCTTCTTGGTTTAAGTCTGTTCCCAGCATCTCTACCAGGGAGATGTTGGGAAGATGGAATTTGTGTTGAACCTTCAGCTTAGCAGGTCTTTTAATGAGAACTTATTCTACTTTATTTTTCTATTTTGGACAGTCTGTTAAGTGCTTTTTAAATTGGAAGTTTGGGATTCCCATTTTGGAGAAGAAATGATACAAAATACTGCAGTGAATAGGAACCTGTACTGGTCCTTCATCCTTAGAAGTGCTGCATGAGTGACTGTACTAGGCCAGACTCAAAACACACCCTCCACAGGCAGGATGCAAAGACTTGAATGCTTTTATAAGGCAATTCTAATGTTCCTTTTCTGTTTCTTCTTCTAGTCTGAAAGGCACTTTATTATGCAAGTAGTCTGTGAAGCAACGCAGTGTCCAGATACAAGGGTGAGTGGAATGAAGGGCTTGATTCATCACTGCACCTTTGTGGGGAAGCTGGCTCTGGCATCAGCAAGGAGTTGTCAAGTGTTATGTGGAGTAAACACTGGTCTGTTAACTGGCTTTAAGTACTCAAAATGAGTTTTATGCTTAAAGTTGGATGTTGTAAATGCACAAGCAGCAACTTGCATCCTCCTAGTAAAGACCTTTGTAGTTATGGTGTAAACCTCAAGCCAGGTTATTAATCTATGGTGGGATACAGCTTGGTTTGCAAAGCACTTGATCCGTTTTCTGCTCTGACAGGTACGAGTGGCTGCCTTACAGAACTTGGTGAAGATAATGTCCCTTTATTATCAGTATATGGAGACATACATGGGGCCTGCTCTTTTTGCTGTGAGTACCCATGTTTCTCATCCCTTGTTGTCTGATCTTGCTGTGCTCCTTTGCCCTAATCCAGGAGTAAAGGTTTTCTTATGTTCCTGGTTTGCTTTGCTTTCTTTGGCTGTGACTGCATGCTGGGAATCCCTCTCCTTGCTAAAACATCCTTCTCTCCCCTCCTTTCTTTCATGTTTCTAAAGATAACCATTGAAGCAATGAAAAGTGACATAGATGAGGTGGCTCTGCAAGGGATCGAGTTCTGGTCAAACGTCTGTGATGAGGAGATGGACCTGGCTATCGAGGCATCTGAGGTGAGCTTCCAAATGACCACTGGAAAGCAGCAAGTTCCCATGATTGTCTCTTTGGGAATGCTGAGCTCATGTATTTGGGAGAGCCCCTTGTGTGGCATTCACGGGTCCATGATGAGACACCATGCACCACTCTGATGTGACGTGATGCATGTCTATGACCGAAACTGAGACCTGAGGCTGCATGAAGCCTGTGAGGCTGGGTGGCTGTGGGTGTTCCATGTGCTGCAGACAGCACAGAGCTGGCTTTTAGCTGCTAGCCTGGGTACTATCAACTCTGGTTGATTGATTCTGCTTTTCAGGGTAAATACAAAGCCTGTAGCACAGGGGCTGCCATTTGGAGTTCCCTTCCATAACTCTTTGGGTTGCATTTAGTGTAGCTTGAACACAACCCCTTTTGCTTACTGGATTACACTGGGATGAACTGCCTTTTTAAGTGAGCAGAATGGTTTTAAATGCCAGCCTGGCTGGGAATTGAAGCTGCTTGAGATAAAGATCCTCTGACAGCTTTGATGAGAACACGCTGTGACATACAAGTGCTGGTTTTCTGCAAATGGTACGTGACAGCTACCTGATTGCTTCTGAGCATTCAAAAGTCAACTCGAGCTACTCCTGTAAGGTTCACCTAAATGTGCATTGAGCACAGATATAAAGCATGGTGTCGTACCAGCAAATTCTCAGTATCACAAAGATCTTTGAGCTGTTCCTTCATTAAGGCAGCATCTTGAGTACCTGAGATAGCACGTTGAAGGGAGAGCATTTCTTGACTTCCCTCCTGTCTTGGAGGCCTAGTGGGCTCTGTTTTGTTGACATGTAAGAGACAGGACTTAGTCCTAACCCAGTGTGCAAAAAGATTGATCACATTCTGTCTAATCCAGTATTTATGAGTTAAGAATAAAGTGATGCGCTGAAAGGAAAGTAATCATTATCCCTTACAATGGATGTGGATGGAGATGAATTCGGGGTGGTGTTGTGCATGCAGATGCCGTTTGCATAAATTAGCTGGAGAGATCAATAACAGCTTAAACTTTGAAGGGCTCTAGATGAATCATATCCATCTTTAAAAGTAGCTAAATATATATTTATGTTGAATGCCCAAAAAAGCAAGGATAAAAGGACAGGCAGCAGCACGTAGGTTTAGTTTGTGCACTGCAGACCTTTTGCTGCTTCCATTTGGGGTCACTTGTTAATTATAGGTGACTGCAAACTGAAAACATTCCTGTTTGTCCCATGTGAGGGAAGAGGAGCTCTACGTGCGTGGAATGGCAAATGGGACTTGCTTATTGGGTAGGACTGGGATTGGTGCTGGGTGTCCTTGAGGCTCCTGGATGCTACAGTAACTCCAGGTTTGCGTTGGGAAAGAGAGGAAAGCATGCAAAAGGGAACTTGCAATGCCTGGAGTTTATCAGTCAGACTTCATGCCTATATAGCCACTGAGAATCATTGTGTAACCTCTTTTCTCCAGGCAGCAGAGCAAGGAAGGCCCCCAGAGCACACTAGCAAGTTTTATGCGAAAGGAGCGCTGCAGTATTTGGTCCCCATTCTAACACAGACATTAACAAAACAGGTGAGTTGCCAAATCCCTGTTGTGTGACCAGAAAATCCCTGCTTCCGTATTCTGGGACAGCAATTCTGCTGGTGCATGGAGGAGGAGATTGGCAGTGGTGGTCATCACCCCCTTGCATAGGGGACTTCTTGAGACACTGGGTCCCAAAGGTGCTTTAGGTGCCCTGGGGTGGTTTAAACTGGTGCAACATGTTCAGAGCACCTTTCCTGGCAGTCCTTGGGCTGGGATGAGACATCATGCACCACTCTGACCGAATGATGCATCGTTTTTAGGGCTGAGCCTGGGAGACTGCATGTGGTGTCACTTTAATGCTGAATTCTGTTAACACGTGCTTGTGTTTATGGTTTTTGAAGAGGATGGAGAGTTAATGTGTATTCTGTACAGTTAATGTGTATTCTGTACAGTTCATCTGTATTCCCAATGAAATGCTTGGGAAATTAAACCCAATATACAGGCTCTGCACCATTTGAGATCCAGTTCTTGAGCTTTACTACTTGAACTGGGAGGCCTATGTTTGTTGAGTACCTAGTAAGCACTTCATAAGGACTTGTTTGGACTGTGCCTTGCAGCCTAATCAAAACTAATGGTATCATTTGCTGCAGCAGGTCTAATTATGAAGAAAACTGTTAATTAAGCCATCCAGGACGAAGTTCATTTGGCTTACTGCAGCGAACTGGGGAAATGCTTGGTGCTCTTAGTGAACCCAGAGAATTGGTTCCCTGGTTTTGTATTGCTGGCTGCTCGGATGCAGAGAGTTAAACTGCAGGAGGTTCTAAAGCGCTTGTTAAACCAGGACAGATAAAACAGATGAGAGAATCACAGGTACACAGCTTCAAAGGAATTTGGGAAGTGGCTGAGCTGCCAGTCAGGGGGGAAGAAGCTGTTTAGCTACAATGGCCACTCTGCAATGGCATGGATCACAGGAACAAAAGCTCAACCTGGATGAGAGAGAAGCATATGGGAAGATGCATGAGGCTGCTGGAGGTGTGTCAGTAAAGAGCCAGCAGCCTTACACCAGGGTGGAAAGGATACAGATGATGCAAGTAACTCGGGGTGCTTCTCTGCCAGAGATGCAGGTGGTACTTCCAGACCTACATTGATTTCTAAATATAAAGCCTGGTTATTAAGGCAGCATTCCTGCAGTAATCCAACACGGATGCACTGCCTGCCAGTGGGTAAGGGATGTTTTCCCCCAGCCTGACCAGGGGTGCTGTTCTCTTAGGATGAAAATGATGATGATGACGACTGGAACCCCTGCAAAGCAGCAGGAGTCTGCCTCATGCTCCTGGCGACCTGCTGTGAAGATGACATTGTTCCTCATGTCCTGCCCTTTATTAAAGAACACATTAAAAACCCGGATTGGCGATACAGAGATGCAGCTGTGATGGCTTTTGGCTGCATTTTGGAAGGACCAGAGCCTAACCAGCTCAAACCACTAGTCATACAGGTAGGATTCATTATGTTGTCTTGGAGGCTTTCAGAGCAAAACAACTTCCTAATTTATTTGGGGGAGGCTTTGCCCATTGCTCTTAATCTAAGGAAAAGCAGAAGGATGTCACCTTTAATGATGTTTTAGTGAGGTTTGGTAGCCCAGGGCAAGTAGGTTGGTTACATAGCTGAATCACACAGACGTGCAGGGCTTCAGAATAACTGCCTCCAGTTCTCAAGTCTTAGCCCTGAGAGATAACTTTATGAATGTTAAAATACCAGTTCAAGGGGATGCATTCAAATCCAAAGTGGTAGCAAATGTCTGTTTCTGTATATTGCCCTAAAATCACCTAAATTTGCAATGCTTTTCTAGGCAATGCCAACTTTAATAGAACTAATGAAGGACCCCAGTGTTGTGGTTCGAGACACGACTGCTTGGACCGTGGGCAGGATCTGTGAGATGCTTCCTGAAGCTGCCATCAATGACATTTACCTCGCTCCACTGCTGCAGTGTCTGATGGAGGGCCTGAGTGCTGAGCCCAGAGTGGCCTCCAACGTGTGCTGGGTAAGGCAGCCCCTCACTGGTGGATGTGGGACAAGGGGAATGCAGCTCATATTCATATATACAAATACACACACATACATATATATATATATATATGTATGCACACACCCAAATGTATATATACTTGGAATTAAATGGATTTCAGAGATGATTCATGGCTTGGTCATCCAGCACACAACTGTGGTTAACGTAAAAGTAAGTTATCTCAAGTCTGTTTTGGGGCTCTGGTAGGAAAGAATAAAGGAAGAAATGGATTTTAAGGAGAGAAATGATAATACTCATTGGTTTGAAACTGCTGTGGAAGCTTTCCCTGATAGCTCTTTAGAGGAGGCACGCTGGGATTTAGCTTTTTTTCATGGGGACAGCTGGATTGCTGCTTTAACATTAAGGGATATGGTGCTTTGTTTCCCATTACCCCAGCCTGCTTCTGCAGTGGTTCTGGAGGTAAATTGAGGAGCATGAGATTTCCTTGTTCACTTAGAGCTGCTGTCCCATGGGTTGGTTTGCTAACTTGAGTCGTATCATTGTCTTGATGGATGTCTACTACCAAACAGCATATCTGGTCTTTCACTGTAAAGGGAGTGTGTTCCCTTTCTGCCTTTCAAAGAGAGCTGCTCAATAAGAACTGAGCTCGAGATGAGCATCAGCATGGCAAAACAAGGTTTAGATACAACAAGAGTTTGGTCTGTTGGTATTCCAGAGGTTTGAAGACTTCTAATCAGCGTGGAAGCTTTGCCCTGGTCTGTTGATCCTGGCAAAAGCCCATGTAGCTGTGGCATTCTGAAGATGATGATGGTGTGTTTTGAGACTGAAGGTGAAGATCAGGAGGCTTTCAGCTCTTCCAAACCCACCTCTCAGAGCATTAACAGTTGCTTTGCAGTTGGAAATCTCTTGACAGCTACTGATGGTTGAGACCAGTGATGCTGTGCAGGTGTTGGCTTGCAGACAGCATGACCACCCTGCAAGTTCATGGTCCAGGTGTGAAATTGTCACCACTCTTGGACCAGCGTTCAGGGCACTGAGCAATGAACTGCTCATGGAGGGAGTTGTTCATCCTGTACATGTTTGAGGTGGTCTTGTTAGAATGAAAACTGTTGGGATCTGTTTCTGGGCTTGTGAGGGTAAACTCCATTGAGTAACAGCAATGGTTGTTCTCTGTTTCAGGCCTTCTCTAGTCTTGCTGAAGCTGCCTATGAAGCTGCAGATGTAGCTGATGATCAGGAAGAACCAGCAACCTACTGCTTATCTACTTCATTTGAGCTAATAGTTCAGAAGCTTCTGGAGACTGCAGATAGGTAACACTGAAATCACTGCCTTAAGCTCTGCAAAGATGCTGCTTTTCATTCCTTCAGGCTGCTCGTCCTCTTGCAGCTTAGATGCGAACGGTGTTTTATCAGAACTGGGCTTTTTTTGTATCCTATGGAATATAGAATGCTAATTCCCTAGAAGAAAGCTGTTCACACAGAATAATTTGGCAGTATTTTGTCATATCTGCTTTTGGGAAATGTGGGGTTTCCTGCAGGAGCACCCATTCCCTCTTTTACTTTGAAGACCCCACACACAGTTTCAGTAGTCCTAAGACTCACCAAGGTTGGCTCCGAGGCCACTCAATAAGGAGGACTGCAGCAAGATGTCATTAGAGATCTGTGTGTATCGTGCAGCTCATTTGCCTGGGATTGTTTTATACCCTGCTTGTTGCTGTGATGTTACAGCCATTTACATGAGCACCAGGTACTCCCAGAAGAGATGAGGACCTAGTTAAGCTGGATACTGCCCTTTTCCCAGCTAAGCTGCAGTATAAATAGATGAGGCAAAATGTTGTTCTCAGTTCTGCAGATGCAAGAATAAGGGTAAGGCTGGAGCTGTATTCTGCCTTGAAGGTCGAATGTATCTTGACAGCTCAGAGTTCAATCCTTAGATCAGTTCAATCGACAGTTGAAGCCTTTTGCTGCAGGACTGCTGCTTAAATGGGGTCCCTGCCTGAACAGTTCAAAGCCTAAACTCTTCCTGTCTAATTGACATCCAACCAGAAGCACAGCGTCTGGCTCAAGGCTCCAAAGCCCATCAGTCATCTTAGCTCAGATCTCAGCTGGCTTTATGTCAGATTTAACACCCTTGCCAAGGCCTGGGAGGGATGGCAGAGGTAGTAATGTATGCTGCTCACCTCTGGAGACCAGCTCTTCCCAGACAGGGGAACAGCACACTGGGAGATGTGGGTTTGAGGCTTTTTCTGTTCCTGTACTTGCTTGCCAGTGACTGAAAATATTGGAAGTCATTATTAATAGCAAATGAAAAGTCGTTCCAAAAGTAGTTTCACAAATTTCAGTTACTTTCAAGTCTTGGAATCCAGGAATTCAAGTGCTTCTGCTTGTCACAACACCAAAATTTAGCTGCTCTACTAAAAAAAAGAGTCTTGTTTCTAAGCAAGCCTGAGCATTGGGAGCTGCAAATACATCCCTTCTGTTACAGGCCTGATGGACACCAGAATAACTTGAGGAGTTCTGCATATGAATCTCTGATGGAAATAGTGAAAAACAGTGCCAAGGACTGTTACCCTGCTGTCCAAAAGACAACTCTGGTCATCATGGAACGACTTCAGCAAGTGCTGCAGATGGAGGTGGGTTTGTTGCTGTTGTGTGTCTGGGGTAGGAAAAGGAGTTCTGTTGCTGAGTGCATATGTTAGGGTATAATGTGGGTTTATTTTGTTAGAGGTGGGTAGATACATTAAGCTTCTTGCCTTAAATTTGAAGGAGCACATTGAATCTCTGGAGCTCACAATGCTGTTAGCATCCACTGGGGTGGTGTGGATGGTGGCACAGGCTTATGACACGTGGGGTTTTGTTCTTTTACAGTCCCATATCCAGAGCACTTCCGACAGAATCCAGTTCAATGATCTTCAGTCTCTCCTTTGTGCTACTCTCCAGGTAAGGCCCTGTCTCCTGTGTTCGTGGTGATGGGGGAAGTGGTGCCTTTAGAGATGCGTCCGTGCCCCTGATTATGCACACGTGGGCCTGTTGAGGAGATCAGAATGAGGAAATAGGATCCTGTGTCCCAGCTGACGTGTGCGGGGTGATACAGGGTTCAGAAGGCTTCAGTAGAGTATGGCTTACAAAGTATAGGGCAATATGAATAAAGAACACTGTATGCAGCATGTTATGGGGTGTATTTACTTTCAGATTGGCTCTTACATTGGCTACAGGCTGAACAATCGCTTTGGCACAGACAAAAACCCTCCATAATGGCTTTAATTCGCTCATCTGCCTCTTGTGGTTGGTGTTCTTATTTAAAATGGCACTAATTAAAATGCACTGAGTGTCCTTGAAATTAAACATCTGGTAATGAACAGCCCGTGTGACTCGGGAGTGCCAGCACATTCCAGTCCCTTGCTTACTCCTGCAAAGTGGTCTTGATGCCTCCCCATTCCATTTCTTGCTTTGTCCTGGAGTTACTTTGATACAGGTTGCTCAGTGATTTTTCTAGTCTCTTCCTATTGATTGCAAGGGGAGTTTAAATCTCTCATTTGCTTTAGAAGCTTTTTCCAGGCTCTGCTCTGTAGCTGTTTCCTTTTTGATCCCAAAAGCACTTTGAAACTTTGTGGGTGAATATAAATGAATCATCTCTGCAAATTCCGTAGTGTTTTCCTCTGCAAAGTTACATTTGTGGAAGATCAACCTCTGAAGTTGCCTATTTTCATTACAGTGGCACTCAATGAACTTAAATGTCTTTTCCAACCTAAACAGCCACTTTTTTCCCCCAAAACTGCTGAGGAGGTTCATCAGACCATCCTGCAATAAGTGGTGGTTGCTATTGAAGCTTTCCTGTTCATGCTGCTGGGCTGTCCTGCCTAACTTATTAACAGTTACAAGGTGCTGCTTTAAAACTCTGTATTAGATGTAGATTCAGCATCAACGTGGCTCTGGGCAGCTCAGGGAAGAGAAGAGGTGTTAAAGTGCTCTGTAACCTAAAATAAAAGCAGAGCATCATCCTCCACTCATATTTATCCCTTTGCTGGGTGGTGGTACCTGTGCTGTGCTGTTTGCTCTTATAAACCCAGCAAAAGGAGCCTTTTCCTCACCCCCAGGTAACAGCCTGTTTCTGTCCCATTTGGTTTCCCCTTCTCTTAAGCAAGGTTAAGAGATCTCCTGGGTGTTGCCTCCAGGTTGTTTTGGGTAATCCTGCTCATTCAAAAGCCCATCAGCAGCTCCTTTCTCTCGCCAATTTTTAGGGTAATTTCCCAAATAATTGGTAAATGGGAATAATCTGGCTTTATGTTGGGCTTTAATGGGGCGCCTTCAGCATCCAGAATCTCAGCTTTTGCCTCTGGGAAGTGTAGGACAGGCGGGATTAAACTTGTCCTTTTAACTTGTAAACGTGTGTTTTGTCTTTATCACAAAGTCTGAACCTCAGGTATTTACAGTAATTGCTGCAGGTACTTCAAGACTAAAGTAAACCTCAGCAAAGAGACTCTATTTACATAGGAAATGCAGAGTTCTTTTGAATCAGGAGACATCAAGGTTGTGTTCTGTAGTTCATGTGCTGAAAGGGATGGGCAGAGCTGTAGGGAGCAGAGTTTAGCTTAAGCTCAGGTATTTACCTTGGCCTTTCTGCTCACTGTCATCAGGTATCAGTTTTGCTTTGCAAACATCTCGCTGCTAAACCCATTGCTGTAAATGTGTTTTGCAGTGGTTGTGTGTTAATTTGCTCCCCATTCCTCCTGGCTAGGAGAGGTTTGACTGCAGTTAGCAGTAAGGAGAGGTTTAACTGCAGTTAGCAGTAAGGAGAGGTTTAACTGCAGTTAGCAGTAAGGATAAGTTTAACTGCAGTTAGCAGTAAGGACAGGCTTATGCCCTGCTTTAACAGCCAGCATTACTGGAGTTTAATTCTGTGGTTTAGAAGCAAAGCTTACGTGCAACCCATGCTTGGCAGCAAGAGATTGTGATCACATTGCTGTGATGGAAAAGGGCTTTTTTGATAGGGCCAAGTATGGGCTGGTCACATTTAATGCCAGCTTACAAATGGAAAGCCTGGAGAATAGCCTATGCAGCAGGAAGGGTAAATTCAGCTTGTTCTGTAGCTGGAAAATTGAATGCAGCTAAAATGAATGGGACTTTGCACTTGCACTGACAAAGCAGATTTTTTGCAGCAGCGGAGTTCAAACAGCAGCTTCGTTTTTAGCAGCCCAAATGTGGTCACGAGTGTTCAGAGCTGAGCGCAGGGGCTGGAAAGGCACAATCCAGGCTCGCAGAGATGGAAGCAATTACAACCTCTTTCTCCTTTCCCCATCCAGAACGTCCTCCGGAAGGTCCAGCATCAGGATGCTTTGCAGATCTCTGATGTGGTGATGGCATCTCTGCTGAGAATGTTCCAGAGCACGGCGGGCTCAGGGGGTGTGCAGGAGGATGCCTTGATGGCAGTCAGCACCCTGGTGGAAGGTCAGTGTTGTGCTGCAGAGCAAGGTTTTGCTCAGGAAGAGGTGAAGCTGGGGTTGGACTGGTTTTCCTTCCTTCTCTTTTTGTCTATATGGCAAAAGCCATGATGAGTTCCTGGCTTTGCTTGGGGTATGGTTTTGACCGCACATCTCACCGCATCGCTCTGTGAAGCTGCGAGTGGTTGGTTATGATGGGCTATCTCATGAGTTGAATGGTTTGGTTTCAGTTAACACAGTTAAAATGCAAATTCTGCCAGGAAATAAAACCCCCTCTAGTGCTGCTTCAGAGTGCCCAGCACAACCTGGTCGCTGAGCTGCTGCAGGACACCTTTATCTTTGTGATTCAGACTTACCGCTGCCTGTGAGTCATGGTGGGTTTTGTTGGGGTGGATTTACAGTCATTGTTCTTGTTTCAAAGAAATCACTTGGGCAAAGATCAGCCTTAGAGTGGGTCCCAATGGGGCGAGGAAAATTGGGTTGTGTTCCAGGCACTTTTGAGCTGCAATGGTTTGGGTTAGAGGGTGGTGGATGTGGCATCACCCAGAGCTCTAGGAACGCACTCTGCTGTCAAAGGAGTGGGGAAGTTGAGGTGCTGTTGGAAGTCTGTAACCTCATTGCCTGACACTGCTGCCTTCCCTCTAATAAAAGCCAGGCATGGGTTGGAAACGGCCTTCAGGGAGATCATTTTGGAGAGAGGCTCATTCCAGTTGTCTTTTCCTGAGGCTGTTATCCTGGCTAGCAGGTGACAGGACCTGTTCCTAATGGAAGCGCATCCGTGATTGCTCTGAGTGCCTTTGAAGCGCAGCAGAGCTAGTTTGGGCTTTTTGGAGAAGCCCTTTCCAACACCAGTGTGTTCGGAGGGCAGGTCTTCATCAGACTGCTGTTGAGAACACAGTGGGATTGCCTGAGGAAGCTGGGATGTGAATGAGAAGGCTGAGTGGGATCACTGCACACAGGAGTGGAAGCGTGTTCCTCTTGAGACCAAGACCCTTTCACCTGTGAATAGAGAAGTCTGCATTTGTGGTCTTAGAATTGCAAGTGACTTGGAGAAGGGTCAGAGCCTGCAAGGAGCAGGAATATTTTACTTCAAATCCTGGTTAAATATGAGCACACTGAAGAGTGTGCTTGAACTGAAGAGGCCAAGCAGCTCTTACCAGAAGGAAGATGTTAAAGCTGTTATGGTGGTAAAGAGATGGGGAAAGGTGGATCTCGACATCCTAAGCATAGGAGGTGGTTGTGTTCAGAGGCCTGCAAGGAGCTGAGCACTTCCAAACCTGTTTAGTCCAGATGGATGCGTTCTACTGGTGCTTGGTTTGTGCATGAGGTGGAAGTGTTCCAAAAACCAGGTAGAAAATGATTCAGTGACATGGTTTTAGTGGCATTACCTGGGGTAACAGTTGAACTCGATGATCTTAAAGCTCTTCTCCAACCTAGATGATCTGTGCCTAAAGGAGAACTGATTGGTTGGGCTTCTATGGAACCTGCAAGTACTGGGGTTGGGTGGAATATAATGGCGGGTTGCTGTGTGGTTCAAGTCCAGCAAATATGTCTTAAGTTGGGATTTCTAACTGGACTATTTTCCATGCACAGTCTTAGGTGGAGAGTTTCTGAAGTACATGGATGCCTTCAAACCGTTCCTTGGCATTGGACTGAAGAACTACGCTGAGTACCAGGTAGAGGTCAAACCAGGCAGCCCTGTTCACAACCTGAGTTCTCATCTGCTCATGGATGCTGATTTCATCCATCAAATACCAGAGCTTCTGGTGATGAAACCAGAATTGGAGCCCCACTTCTCTCTAATTACTGACTGCATGCACAGATTTAGCCTCCTCTTTAATTCAGCAGAAGGCCTTCATTGACTTGACACCTGTGTTTTCACTTAATAGTTGGCCTTGATGAGGAAAGAGGTTGCTGCTGGCTGCGTGTTCCCATTAGAAGGTCAAGTCCTGGTGCTCCCTGTGGGGTGGATGTTTTGACCACCCAGCTGTTGTGTTCACACCAAGTGCCTGTTGCTTTGGCAGCTGGATCTCTTTCCCTCCCCCTTGTTGAAGCAAGTTGAGGTCTTTGCAGCTTGGTGATACAACTGGTTAAGGAAGAGCCTCATCTGCTCTAAGAGGGTCCTTTAATGGGTGCAGACTCTCACCACTTAGGGCTTTAATAAGCTGAAGCTATAAGGATAGAACGTGGAAGACTGACTCACTGGGTGGGTGTCTCACTTGCTGTTCTATTTGCAGGTTTGTCTGGCTGCAGTGGGCCTGGTTGGTGACTTATGCAGAGCCCTGCAATCCAACATCCTGCCTTTTTGTGATGAGGTTATGCAGCTGCTCCTGGAGAACTTGGGGGTGAGTGTTTACCTTCTCATTAGCCAGTTAGTAACAGTTGGCTTGCACACTGAGAAGAAAGTGGGAGGTGGGAGAAGCAGAAGTGTTAGGCATGTTCTGAAGATCTCGTGTTTGACAACTATCTGGCTTACTATTTGAATGGAATCCAAATTTATTGGGGGTGAGGATGTACGTTTCAAGGAAATGGCCTAATTTATTAGCTCCTCCCTCCTCACAAAAAGCAATGCCACTGAATGTAACTGTGCTAAAATCTCTTCCAGAATGAAAACGTTCATAGGTCTGTGAAGCCTGAGATTCTCTCGGTGTTTGGTGATATTGCCCTTGCCATTGGAGGAGAGTTTAAGAAGTACCTCGATGTTGTACTGAACACCCTCCAGCAGGCTTCTCAAGCACAGGTCGATAAGGTGAGCCAGTGGTGCTGTGCCTCTCCGGTGCATTAAAACCACAAGGAAGGGCTGTGCACCCACTGAGTGGGCCTTTCCTGATGCCTTTCCAGTCTGACTATGACATGGTGGATTACCTGAATGAGCTGAGGGAGGGCTGCCTGGAAGCTTACACTGGAATTATCCAGGGATTGAAGGGAGACCAAGAAAACGTGCATCGTGAGTACTCTGTCCTGCTATGGTGGTGCTGGGCTTGAGGTGGGAAAGGGACATGGGAAGAGCTGGGCTTGGATAAGCTGTTTCATGGTGGTTGTCACATCTGAGGGCATTCCCTTTGTGTGGGAATGAATGCTTTACAGCCAGGAGTTGGGAATGGGTTTGGAGCCCTTCACTGCTGTTCCTCTGGCAGTTTTTCCTCTCCCTATCTCAGCATTTGTGGGGTCAAGTTCTGCCTGTTTGGGGCTATCCTGGAAGCCCTCTTCCAGGGCAGATTGTTAAAACACAGCCTGTGTTTCACCCTGCTCTCACCAAGCTCTTCTCTTCCAGCGGATGTGATGCTGGTGCAGCCCAGAGTAGAATTTATTCTGTCTTACATTGACCACATTGCTGGAGATGAGGATCACACCGATGTTGTAGTGGCATGCGCTGCTGGACTGATAGGGTAAGCATCCCAATCCCATTTCAAGCATGCTCATTAGATAGATAGAAACCTTTATACAACTGCCTTCCTCTTTGAAGCTGGGCTTTTATGAGTGTCTGAAGTGTTTAGTGTCAGCTCTGGGGTGTTGGGTATTGAACCCAAGGAGTGAAGGGGTTCTGCAGGTGAGGTCCTTTAACTGACAGGGTGAAAATCCTTAGGTAGGAGTGAACACTGGGGGGGTGTTACAGAAATCCCAGATGCAGGATTTGTCACGGATGACCTGGGTTTAAAAACGAGCTCCCCCCCACTTCCACCTTCAGCTCCCTGGGTAAGGAGGAATGAGGGTAATCCTGTCTGTGGAATTTAGGGAAGGGGACAAGGAGATTGAACATCTCCAGTTAGTCACAGTTCCAGAAGACTTGAGTTTTCCTCTGCTGAAATTAGTGACCATATGCAGCATTTTCAAAAGGACGTGAGCTGTGAGTCAGATTTCTCTTTGCTTGCAAGAGCTGATCACAGTGGAACATCTGCTTGTGACACTCAGCCTTTACAGCCTCTCTCTTTGCTTCTGCAGGGATTTGTGTACAGCGTTTGGGAAAGATGTACTGAAATTAGTAGAATCTAGACCCATGATACATGAACTGCTAACTGAAGGAAGAAGATCCAAGACGAACAAAACAAAAACCCTTGCTACCTGGGCGACTAAAGAGCTGAGAAAACTGAAGAATCAAGCTTGGTAAGGGCTCCCACCCACCTCCTTTGCATGTTGCATAATTGTGAAATTGGCTAAACTCCTGAGTCTGAAAGAGATGCTTCCCCAAAGCCTTGTTCTCTGGGAGGTTGTAGATTGGGTGGTTCTCTGTCAACAAGCCCCATCTGTGGTCTTTGTCTATCAGAACAGATACGAACTGAGGAGCACAGGGAGCTGCGTGGCTTTCACAGGACCAGATGCAGACCAAGGGGCTTCTTGTGTTGTGGAATGTGTCCCCTTGTTAGTCAGGGACAAGCTGAAGCCTTGTTGTCTCCTCAGTCCTACTTGGAGTTCAAGGAGCATCTGAAGAACGCTCTTAGTCTTCATGGTTTAGTTTTAGGTTGTCCTGCAAGGAGCAGGAAGTTGGACACAATGAACTCCCTTAAACAGGAGAGATTTAGGTTGGGTATAAAGCTCTTCCCTCTGAGGGTGGGCACAGGGTGCCCAGAGAAGCTGTGGCTGCCCCATCCCTGGCAGTGCTCAAGGCCAGGTTGGACAGAGGGGTTTGGAGCAAGCTGCTCCAGTGGAAGGGGTCCCTGCCCATGGCAGGGGTTGGAACCGGATGATCTTAAGGTCCTTTCCAACCCAAACCACTCTGGGATTCAATGATCCTTAAGGATCTCTTCCAACTTGAAATACTCTTGAGCCTGTGATTCTGATGAAGCACCTTTAGAAAGGGCAGGATGGAGTAAGTGCATTTGGGACAACGAATCTGGCACAGCTTTGTCACCCCACCAGGAGAAGCTCCAACGTGTCCCATATATTCTCTCTTGCTTCTGCAGTCACTTTTTACCCCGCTTCCTCCCAGCTTCACCTCCTGCCCGCGGGGCTGGGGTTGCTTGTTGATGAACCCTTTTTGCTTACAGATCTGTTACCATTGGGATGACACCTGAGGCCCCCACTGGAAATCTCCAATCTTTTGAGGAAAAAGTAAAACAAAACCAACAAAAAACAAAACCAACCACGGAAGTGAGGAGTGTGCACGGATGCTGAATGTTTGGGAATGAGAGGATGAGTGTGAGTGAGGCTTTGAAACACACCACATTGGGAATCCCGCCACAGCAGCAGAGCTGTCAGCGAGCTGAGCACTGACTTGCATAGGAATCCCGGCGCCGGCTGGTTTTGGGAAGAGGGAATGAGCCGATTTCTGTCCAAGGAATGAGCGAGTCTCTTCTTCAGGCAGACCAGGACCAGCTTCTCTGTCGTGGCCGGTGTAGAAGGGGAACACGGCCGGTTGGGAGGAGAGGAAACTGGGTTCAACTGTGGTGCTCTTGGCTTGGGCTGCTGGAGAGGGATGGAGCCAAGGGCTCCAGCCGCCTGCCCTAACCTTTTGCCGCACGATGCTGTCGGTGATGGGATGTGAGGAGGAGGTGAAGGATTTTCAGTCTAGGAGTGAGTGTGTGTGAATGAGGCGGTATCCACATTCTCAACTTCGAGTCATTGCAGTTTATCTTTGCCCAAAAACCACACAAAAATGATAAAAGACAAAAAAAACCACACAACAAACCCACCAAACCACCACCCAAGGGTTAGCTGTTGCATTTCATAAACTAACCAGAGTTCAGTCTACTGATGCAGCGTAAGAGATGTACAAATAAAAGAGGGGAAAAAGACAAAAAAAAGACAAAATAATAATAAAAAAAAAAAAGAAAAAAAATAAGGAAAGTCGCTCTTTAGGGCTTTTTATTTTAGGGAAACACTGACGAATGTTCAGAGCTCCCGTTCCCGGTGCCGCTTTCCATGATCTCGGTTCATCCAAGCGCCTTTCCTTCCTTAATATTGTTCAACTGTGAATGTAGAAATGGGAGGGGGAAAAAACCAACCCAACCCGACCCCAACCTCTTGCTTTAGAGGGAATGGAAAGCAAATGGCAAAGGCGATTTCAGGCTTCAAACTCAAGTTACAAGTGTTCAGTGCTCCCAATTGGCAGTGAGAACGCAAAGGGAAAGCTCTCTCCTGACTTGGACTTGTAGCAGCCCCGACACCCACAGACAAATTGTGCCAAAGAGTTGAAAAACAAAAAGCAAACTTCAGGTAATAGCAAAAAAAAACAAAAAAAAAGGCAAAAATGGCAAAAAAAAACCAACCCACGAAACCAAACGGCTTTAAGTGAGGTGAAATTCAATGTGCGACCAAGATCTGATGATAAAAATGCCATTTGGAAACTGCTTGGCCTTTTGTGCTCTTTATTTGATCAGGTTTAATGTGGTATTTGGTCTCTTGCTGCACTTCAAAAACAAAGGAAAAAGAGAAATTTATAGAAAATATATATATACTGACTTGAGCTTACACAAGACGGCACTTGTAAAAGGTTCTATTTTTCCACTGCAGTTGAAGATGAATAAAATGGTGTCAAACATTCCCCAATACTTCCTTTTTTTTGTATTCTTGGTCTTTCCAGTCAAAGGGGAACCCTTTAACTGAGGCTGTTTTGGTCGCTAGCAGCAGGCTGATGGGCAACTCGGACCTGAACCGGCTGCTGATGCTTTTGTGTTCACGTGAAGGATCCGAATCTCTTCCTTTCCTCTTCAATGAGCCTTTTGCTTTTGAGGAGTAGGCCCGTTGCTTTTAGCTTGTCAGCAATAAGCCAAGACCCAACCAACCCCTGGAGAAGGTGCAGGGTTTTGAGACTCTCATTTCCTTTGAATGCAGCAGTTGAACTACCAGCATCTGACTCTGCAGTTTAACACGGGCATCCTTGCAAAGCTGCTGTGGGAGGGAGAATAGAAAACCTTCGCCAGTATTCCCTTTTTTTGTTGTTCTCTCAAAAGCAGCAAGAATCTGCTTTATTCCCCCAATTTCCCTTTCTTTTTTTCCCCCCTACTTCTTCCAATTCGGATCCGAGGATCCAGAACAGTGGAGTCCCACTTCTGTTGCCCATCTGCACTGCAGCATCCACACTAGCTCTTGTACAGGGTATCAGATACGTGCCTTTCAGTGCTGGGTTCAGATCGCAGTCGAAGTGCCGACTTGGAACCAGTGTATGGAAAACAAAGCAGAAACTCGAAAGGAAAAGGAAAGGAAAGGAAAGGAAATCCCAGGTTTGGAGAGGAGAAGGAGGAGCTCTGGGAGCTGGGAATGCCGGCCTGCTCCAGAGCATGGCCTGGGCGCAGGCCTGGGTCACCTTTCATAGTGATGATGCCTTTTTATTTTGTTGCTGGAGGTGGGGTGGGATTTCCTAAAAAAATAATAAAAATAAAAGATATATATTAAAAAATTTAAAAAATGAAAAAAAAAAGGGGAAAAAAAAAGACAGAAAAAGCCATTCCTGAAGTTGGGGAGGGGATGTGGAGGGAAGCAAATCTGATCATTCCTCAGTGCTACCTGTTTCTGTCCTGTGTGGCTGTTCAGCTGTAGACAGCAGGAGAATAAAGTACACTGAGACAGTAGTGGAAACAAACCCGTGTCCGGCCTCTTTGTGTTGGGGGGGCTTTCCCTTGGGCTTTGGGGTGGGTTTGGGGTTGATTTCAAGGATACTCAAAAGCAATGGCAGGCTTTGTATGGGGGATGTGGCAGTGCCTCTTCCCCTTGCCCCTGCTCCTGCTGGCTGCAGAGGGAGGGCAAACCCTGGTTTAAGGCTGGTTTTGCTCATTGGTGGCTTTAATCATAGAAGAAACCCATTTAAGCCCAGCCTGGGCATCGCTGCTGGGGTTTGGTGCTTGCGTAGAGTCATGGGATGGGATGGGTTGAAGGGACTTTAAAGCTCATCCAGTTCCATAGGCAGGGACCCCTTCCACTGGAGCAGCTTGCTCCAAGCCCCTGTGTCCAACCTGGCCTTGGGCACTGCCAGGGATGGGGCAGCCACAGCTTCTCTGGGCACCCTGCACTCAGCATCCTACCCTCTCTAACCCCATCTCTCAAAGCCCCCTTTAACCCAACCCTGCACCCACAGCTCCAAACCCCTCCTTTATCACCTCCCATTTATCAACCCATCAGTTGTCCATAGAGGAACCGGCGCTTCTCCACTCCTGCCTCCCCATGGCAAAGCCTTCAACCCATCCTGATGCACCAGCACCGGGTGCTCACTCTTGGCAGGGCCCCAGTGACGAAGGGATGGGGGGAATGGGTTTATTTACCTTCTAAATGAATAAAAACTGAACCAAAATGCTTTATTTTTGTTACTGATGGGAAGGGGAAGGGGGGGGGGATGATTTATTTTTGCTGCTTCATCTTCCCAGCTCCCGCCGCGTCTCCCGCTGGCAGCAGCATCCTTTAGCTCACAGAGACTGAGTGGGTGCGTGCTCAATGAGTGACGCTCGCCCGTTTCCTCTCGTTGAGGTGACAGCACTGTGTCATCTGCCATATGTGCCACCCGCTCCGGTACCCGGGGACAGCGCGGCCCTGCCCGCCCGTTGTTGGGATGCTAGGTTGGATTCATGGAGGTGAGCGGGATGAGGGTGAGGAGCATCCCCTGAGAGCTGTATCCCTATGGGGAGAGGAGAAAAAAACCCCATTTCCTGCAGCTTTCAGGAGGGGAAATGAAGCCACACAAGTTGATTTGTAGCCTCGGAGGTGATGCTGTGGCCTCAGCGCCTCCCTGGTGCTGTCTGGCACTGCCGGCACTTGCTGAATGCAAGTGGTTTCCTATGATGGCAGCACAGGGTTGTCAGCGTGCCCTTGGAGCTCCAGAGCCAAAGGGAACCTTCATTGAGCTCTTCTGTGATGCTCCATGTGTTGGTTACTTGGGAGTGCCATTGTCCCAGCATGGGAGCATCCCCAAAGCATCACTCACATGTGCTCACCTGGCAGGGACATGGGGCTTTCCTACCCCAGCTGGGATCAGCACAGGTATAGAAGGGCTGTGCCATCAGGAGCAGGCTCTGGCACAGGGGTTTACAGAGCTTGCTGCTCTCTGGTTGCAGGATGCAGCTTCCCCTGCTCACGCTCCCCTGTATCCTCCTCCCCTTGCTGCTGTTGGGGAGCCCCGGTGTGATGCTCACAGCCGATGCTTCCAGTCAAGGGGGAAACGAGCGGAGGTTCTCTCCATAGAGATGGAAGCGCTGCTGGGAGCAACCACATCCGTGGGGAATGGAGCTCCGTGGTCCCACCTGGGACCCTGTTTGGCAGCAGGAAGCAATGGGTGAGTTCAGTGCTTGGCCTTATCCTGGTGGCAGATGGAGCTGATGGGGCTGGAAGGGATTTTAAGTGTCCCCTGCCAAAGGGCTGAGTTCTGCACTGGTAATAACCCAATAAATCCTCTGCCATAAAGGCACTGAACAAAGGGCTCAGGCAAAGCAAAGCCTTTGACTTCCTCCTGAGCGTTGGTAAAGGAGAGATGCTCCCTGAGGAAGATGAAGGTGATGTTTTGGGCTTCAATGGATGCTTTAGGACAGCTCAGGCCTCGTGTGAACCCAGGGAGTTTGCAGCCTCCAGGTAACAGAGGCTGCCCGAGGAGCCTCCTGCCTCCCTCTGCTCCCCATCGGTCCCCATCACAGGCACTGGATCAGCTGAGACCTCATTGCATTGGAAATGCATTAAAGAATTCCATTATGGAGCAAGGATGGGAATGTGGGAGAGAGGCAGGGTGAGAAATGCTTGGAAACACCAGGATGCTTTAAGGTCCCTTCCAACCCAAACTGTTCTGTGATTCGATGAAGCCTCAGGAGAAGAGCAAAGCATCCCATGGGATGCCTGGGCTGAATCCTGCTCTGCCCATAGCTGCGCTCCCGGATGCTGCGTTGGCAATCGGGGTGCAATGAGGACCCCAAATGCCAGGACCAGGCTTATATGGGAGACAACCCCAGGAGCTTGGATCACTGCTGCTGCTCCAGAGTCTTCCTCAGCCTCCCTCCTCTCCGCTGCCAACCCTGTGCCTGCAGGGCTCATCCCTCACACACAGTGAACGCCTGCACCCGGTGCCCTGCGTGCAGCCCCTCGGGGGGGCATCAGGCCCTGTCCCCAGCACGGCTCCTGCCTCGTGTTCCCAATTCCCTTGGAACCTGATGGAAACCTTCATTTGCACTTCAAAGCGCTCGCAGCAGATCCACGGAGCTGGAGCTGGCATCGGGCTGCATCCAGAGCCCTGTTTGTGGCTCCTGCCCGGCCCCATGGGACTCCTTGGGGTCAATGGTGCCTTTCAGCCCAGCACTGTGACCCCCCCAAGAGCTGTTTTCCTCTCCAAGCCGCTCCATAAGCCAACAGTGGTGATTCCCTGGCAAAATCTCCAATGGGAACGGCCCCGTGCCCGGCTGCCATCAGCCTCCCAGAGCCTGCATTTGGGCTCCACAGCCACCAGATGTGGGAGTCACAAGAGTGAGCATCCCAAAAGTGGTACCCGCCAATGCCAGCCTGGGGCCGAATCGCTGCAGCGCTCTCCCGGAGCATCCCATGCTCCATCCAAGTGATGCTACAGCCATGCCAGGAACCAGGATCTAGGATGAGAGCTCCTCAGCTGGGGTCTTCCCTCCTTTTGGGCATCCAAGTGGGAATCAGGGGCTGGGTGAAGCCGAGCTCTGCCTGGTTTTGACACCTTTTCCATGTGATGGAGGCACATGGGCGGGATGATTCCCACCGGGGTCTTCCATTGAGGAATGCTCATGCAGTGCCATGGGTCTCTCCATCCAGGCCTTGGGGTTTGCGGGTGCTGGGATCTGTCCCCCCTGGAGCACAGGGATTTGCTGGTAGAGCCCCCGGCATCGGCAGTGCTGGTGAAAGGAGAGCAGCTATTAATAACACTGCGCAGCCACGGGAGGAAAATGGAATTCCATAATGGAAACGGCTCTGGGAGAACAATCCAGGGAATAAAATCACCCAAAAGGGGGAAGGAGCCGAGCCCAGCCCCCATCGCGCATCCCTGCAGCTCAGCTCTGCCGTTGCCCCCCTCCCCGGGGCTGCCCGATGGGGTGACCCCCCCCCCCCCCCAAGCTCCGGACTCAGCCCCGATGGGGTGGAAGGGGGGGGTCTCCGGTTGCAATGCGGGGGCCGGGGTCTTCCCCCTCCGAGGGGGCTTCGGGGGTCCGGGCACTGGGAGCGCCCCGGAGACCCGCGGTGCCCCGGGAGGGGGAAATGGGGCCGGGGGGGAGAGGGATGGGGGGGGCGGCACCGGAGCGTGGGGGGGGGAGGGGCTGGCGGCCGCCCGGTGCCCACGTGGTTCCTCGGTGTCTCCGGAGCGGAAGAAACGGCGGAACGGGAAGGAACGGGCGGCAGAGGCGAGACGGGCACCGGCACCGAGACCGGCACCGAGACCCGCCGGGGCGGGGACCCAGCCGCATCCCGGCGGCCGCCGCCGCAGCATCATCGCATCGCATCGCATCGCATCGCCGGTGAGTGCGGGGCCTGGGCCGGGGCCGGCGGGGGAGAAACCGGGCCGGGGAACAGGAGCGACACCGCCACACCCGGACCCGCCTCCCCCCCGCCCCATCGCGCCCCC